AATTCACAATCAAGAGTAATTTTTTCATCCTACATTAAAAAATTTTGAAGTTAACATGAAAACTAGAATTGAGTTAGGAAGGCTCTGTAGCTCCTGCTTCCATCAAGAGTCTCTTCTGGCCGGGCATGGTGGCTGCCTATAATCCCAGCACTTTGGGAGGCTGAGGCAGAAGGATTGTTTGAGACCAGGAGTTTGAGACCAGCCTGGGTAACATAGCCAGATGCTTTCCCTACAAAAAATTTAAAAAATTAACCATGCATGGTGGCAAACGCCTAGAGTCCTAGCTACTGAGGAGGCTGAGGTGGGAGGATTGCATGAGCCCAAGGGTCTGAGGTTTATAGCATGTGCCTCTGCAATCCAGCCTGGGTGACAGAATGAGACCTTGTGTCTTTTTTTAAAAAAAAAAAGTCTTTTCTATAATTCTACTGGTTTTGGAAAGGGACATCTAGAAGGAAGTTGTTCTGCCTGGCCAAATAAATTCCAGCCGGTTTGCAGGGATAGCAAGTTAGAAAGAAAGCAAGAAAATGCAAACTATTTAATATCATCCACCTAGGAAATGGAGGTAGGGACCGAAGGAAAAAGAGAAGATAGGTCTGGCTCCTGAGGCCTTGGGAAGACTGGGAAAACTTGGAAAGATTTGGGAAGAATTGGAAAAGGAGTGAACCGGATATTGAAAGATCATTTGCTGTGGCTCACTGCCACTTGAAATTGAATTGTGTGAGGGGGAAAGTGCTTCTCAGCAGGTTTGATGGAATAGGGAGTTTTTGAGAATTCAGGTGAAGAGTTCCATTCAGTCTATTGGCCTGTGGCAGGATAAATCTCATCAAAGGGCAAGTCCGAAGACCTGATCTAGTTCCTGGACGCAGCCTACGTGCTTGCCTTGATGTAAATGATCACTCTTCCATATGTTTCACTTTCATCTTCAATAAAAAGAAAATGATAATAACTGCCTTGTCTCTGTGGATTTTGGTATCAAATAAAATAAGACATTAGAAATGTCCTTTGTCAACCGGGACTGTGGCCTATAATCTTAGCACTTTGGGAGGCTGAGGCAGGTGGATCACTTGAGGTCAGGAGTTGGACCCTGGGGAATATGGCGAAATGAGGTCTAAATACAAAAATACAAAACACAAAATAGAAAAATACAAATTTTAGCCAGGTGTGGTGGTACACACCTATAACCCCAGCTACTTGGGAGGCTAAGGGGGAGGACTGCTTGGATTTAGGAGGTGGAGGTTGCAGTGAGCCAAGATCCTCCACTGCGCTCCAGCCTGGGTGACAGAGCAAGACCCTGTCTCAAGAACAAAAAAAAGGAAAAAAAGGAAAGAAAAGAAATGCCCTTTGTTGTACTGTTTAAGATCACATTACCTTTGTGACATTATCTCTTGTAAATTATCTATTCCAGGAACATGGATATAGTTGCTGACTCCAGTAAACCTTTCACTTTCAGCCAGAAACCTTGGTTTCTCCCTGGACTTCCTCTCTTCCCTGTTTAAACTCCCAGTTTCTCCCTGTTTAAATTGTAAATTTTAATGTCTCTAGTATCCTAATGAAGTAGTTTTAAATGGTGAACAGTCTTCATTTCCCTTTTCTAAATGAAGAGCAGGTTACAATTTGGGGCAGAGTCACTTCTAGTTGTAGTGTAAGGGTTAATCAAATTTATTTCAGTATGAATTTCTGTTAATACCTGACCATTAGACCTGCTTGCAGCTAGCTTCTCAGATCAGAGGTCAGAATTAAGCTTTTAATGTTGACTTTTAGAGTTCTTGAGAAGCTCCAGATTTTCAGTATAAGGATTTTCATAGAGAAGTGGAAGATCCCTCTGACATTTTGTCATTATGAATTTTAATAGCTTCACCTTCCAATTTTGCATGTTTGACATGTAACTTCGCTTGCCTTTGATCATCAAAATTAAAAAGAATTTCTCATAGTAGAAAAAATGGGTAAGAATTTGCTAGTTTGATATGATCAACTAATTTTTGACAAGGGCACCGAGAAGACAAAATGGGGAAAGGATAGTCTCTTCAATAAATGATTCGGGGAAAATGATTTCCATATGCCAAAAGAATGAAATTGGACCTTATATTATACCATATATAAAAATAAACTCAAAATGGATAAAATACCTAAATATAAGAACAAAAATTATAAAACTATACCAAAGGAAATGAAATCACCACCTTAAAAAGATATTTGCACTCCCATATTTATTGTCGCATTATTCCCAATTTCCAAAATACAGAAACAGCCTAAGTGTTGACGTATGAATGGATAAAGAAACAGAAACTTTAGTATACACAATGGAATATTATTGAGCCCTAAAAAAAAAAGAAAATTCTTGCCAAATGCTACAATATGATTAAGCCTGGAAGACATTATGCTAAGTGAAACAAGCCAGACACAGAAAGAGAAATATTGTGTGATCTTGATCCCACTTATACATGGAATTGGAAAAAAAATTCAGAGACAGAGAACGAAACTGGTTATCAGGAGCAGAGGAGGATAAAGAGGAGGAAATGGGAAGAGGCAGTTCAAAGGAAATAACATTACAGCTTGGGAAGATGAGCCGGTCTAGAGATCTAATGTACAACCTGAGGGGTATAGGTTAAAAAAATTGAACTGTAAAATGAATAAATTTTAGCTGCTCTTGTCACAAAAACAAAAAATGGGTAACTATGGAGATGATGGATATGTTAATTTGCTTCAGTATAGTACCATGTCTATCTTCATATCCCTTAACATCATGTTGTGTACATAATAAAATGTATCTTTAAAAAAGAATTTACTAGTTTGAAAAGAGTTAACAGAATTGTTCTCTGCAAAACATTTTAGGATTCTTTCAAAAGATTCTAGGTGGGATGTATTGTTTTTCATTTTTATACTGTCATGATGATTGCTCAGTTTTCTGTTTACCCTTTCTTAAATTGTTTCATAGTTTCCAACATAAACTTTTAAGAACATGCTTATTAGAACTGAATTTGATATTTTATTTATTTTATTTTTGAAACAGGGTCTCGCTCTGTCACCCAGGCTGGAGTGCAGTGACACTATCACTGCTCACTGCAGCCTTGACTTCCCCAGGCTAGGGCAATCCTCCCACTTCAGCCTCCTAAGTAGCTGGGACTACAAGCGTACGCCACTTTGCTGGGCTAAGTTTTATATTTTTTGTAGAGATGGGGTTCGCCATGTTGCCCAGGCTGGTCTTGAATTCCTGGGCTTAAGCAATCTGCCCAAACTTCATCTCCCAAAGTGATAGGATTATAGGTGTGAGCCACTGCACCTGACCTGTGATTTTCTCCTTCTTACTAGTTTTCATTGATTTGATTATGATGTGCCTTGGTGGACTTTTAAAAAATATTTATTCTGTTTGGGGTTTGTTGAGCTTCTTGGACATGTGGGTTTATAAATTTCATCAACTTTGGAAATTTTTCATCCTTTATTTCTTTTTATATTTTTCCTGCCCCATTTGCTCTTTTTTTTTAAGACCCTAGTTACATATGTGCTAGACTGCTTTCTGTTGTCTCACCGCTTGCTGATGCACAGTTCAACAATTATTTTTAGGTCATTTTTCTTCTGTCATTTTGGATAGTGTCCATTGGTAGTCTATTAGTACATGCTCACTGATCTTCTGTGGTATCTAATATGCTGTTGATATCACTCAGTTTATTTTACAATTCAAATATTGTATTTTTCATTTCTAGAGGTTTCATTTGAGTCTTTTCTTCCATTTTTGCTTATAATGTTCATGTTTTCCTCTACTTTCTTGAACATGTGGAGCATATTTATAATAAAAATTTTGATGTCTTCATTTGCTAATTCTATTATTTCTGTTTATATTGATTCTGATTATATTGATTTTACTCCTAGTTGTTGATTATATTTTCCTGCTTCTTTGCATTACTGGTAATTTTTTACTCAGTGCCAAACCTTGTGAATTTTACATTTGGAAATACTAGATTTTTTTCCCCTAAGATGTGCTATGTACTGGCTGCAGTTAAGTTGCCAGGAATTACTTGAATCCTTTTGAGGCTGGATGTTAAGTTTTGTTAGGGAGGCTGTCCAGAGAAGCCTTCAGTCTAGGGTTAATTTATGCCTGCTGCTTCTGAAAACTTTATACCCAATGTCCCAAGTGTTAATGAGGCTTTCTGCTTTGCCTGGCGGGAACATGAATGTCCCAGCCTTGTATGAGCTTTAAGAATCGTCTGACCTTCTGCATTGCAGTGCTTCTCTCCCTGGCCTTTGTTAGTTTTGTCTCATTCAGGCACAGGTGAGTTCTCAGCCAAAGACTGAGAGATACCCTTCTGTAAGGCCTCCATAATGTGTGCTCCTCTCTCTGTGCAACTCTGTCCTCACAGGCACTCTGCTTCACAAATCCTAACTGCCTTGTCCTTCCTGAACTTTGTGTTTCTCTTAAACACAGCAAGATTGCTGGACTCCGTTCTGGTCCCATTCCTGCCCTATGGCCTGGAAACTGACTATGGGAAGTTAGCTGGCGCAGGGCTTATCTCATTTGTTTCCCTTCTCTCAGGGATCATAAGCCTGCACTGCCTATAATGTCTGAAAACTGTTTTTTTTCATATATTTTATTGCCTTTCTAGTTATGTAAGGTGGGAGTAAATCTAGTCCCTGATACTCCAACATGAATGGAAGCAGAGGTCGGCAATTGGCCCCTAAGGTCTTTTTTTACGGTAAAAATTTAATGAGTAATTTCAAATCTGTGGCATATATGCATAGTATTATATTAAAAGAGCCATGGATGTAGGAATCAAGATGAGGGGCCCAATCCTTGCTCAGTTGTTTAACTTTGTGCTTCTCACATTATGGACTTCTGTGACCCTCTACTTAGATGTCTTAAAGCAACTAATTTGATTTCCGAATTTAATTCTCATCTGTAGAATGAGAGTTAGGAATGTTCTTTATAACCCAAAGTGCAAAGCCTTAGGTTGAGCTATTTTCAAAACGCTTATCAACATTCTTTATTTTATTTACATATATTATAGGCACCATACTGGGCATACCTTTTATGTGCGCTGGGACTTTTTATCTACCAGTCACTGGATGCTATTGATGGAAAACAAGCCAGAAGAACAAATTCTTGTTCTCCTTTAGGGGAACTCTTTGACCATGGTTGTGACTCTCTTTCCACAGGTAAATTATTGAAGTTTTTTTTTTTAATGATACCTTAAAAACAAAATGAACTGAGCTGTTTGGTCAGTTTTCTGGATGGATATACATTTGGAAGCAAATAATGCAGTTGTTTAAAAAATATGTCCAAGAATTCATTTTGATAAGTGTACCTTATTTTAATGCCATGATTATTTCCTTAAAACTCTATATTTGTAAACAGCATAGGGCAATTATTTTATAAGTTACGTTTAATTCTTAATGGTTCTTGAACTTTGTTTTTTTCAGTATTTATGGCAGTGGGAGCTTCAATTGCCGCTCGCTTAGGAACTCATCCTGACTGGTTGTTTTTCTGCTCTTTTATTGGGATGTTTGTGTTTTATTGTGCTCATTGGCAGACTTATGTTTCAGGCGTGTTGAGATTTGGAAAGTAAGTATGTTTTTTAAGTTGTACATTTAAAAATATAATTGAATTCATTTTCACAATCTGTTAATGTCATTCATCGATAATAAGGAGAACAAAGCTTCAATCAGTAATTTAAATTATTTCATTGGAGTATCTATAAATGCTATACCTTAAGTCTTTTAGGTATTCTGCATGTTATAGTTACATTATTTGATAATAATTTTATTTCTCTTCTCCCCTTCTCCAACTTAATCACTAGCCCAAGTTTACAATAGAGAGGAAAAAAAGAAAATTAAGGGAGCTGAATAATATAGAAAAAGGATATGAAGTACTTAAATAAGCATTTGATTCATATAATAAAATAATGCAGTATGGAGTCTAAGGTCCTTTTTTGGTCGAATCTTCATGTGCACAAAAAGGGGACCCTCCCTTGCCAACAGTCACCAGCAACAGGTAATCGTGAGACTCTGAGCTGCAGTAGACAATTGGTGAGATAAGGTAAAAGCACCTTGTGAATGCTAGTGCTAACCATTAGATAGAATTATCTGCCTCTGGTGCATCTTTCTTAGAGACCAGGAAATAGTACACAAAGCAGGAATGCTATTCTCAGTTCCTCTTTCTCAAATAGCTCCCTCTCCGTCCGATCCTTTTAAGAACTTTGTTATTTTTTGTCATCCATTTAAGAACAAGCTCATTCTTGGCTTTGGCTTCCCATGTCTACTGATTCTTTTTAGCCCCACTTTATTGCTGAAAAAGAGAAACAGTAGCTTTGAAAAAAATCTCTAATGATAAATGACAGAAGAAGCTCAAAACTATCGATCATTAAGCAGAGGGCCAGGCTTCTGGCAGTTGATTCTAAATTAGGGCATAATTGTATTTACCACCTATCAAGCACTTAACATATTTCAGGCATTGTACAAAGTGCTTCACATGCATTATCTTATTTATTCCTCACATTTACCCTGTAAGGTGGGTATTGCCTCCATCTAAAGACATTGGGGCATCCAGGCAGAGATGTAAAGTATGTGGACAGATATAAAAATCTGGAGCTCAGGAAAAAATGTAGATTGGAGATGAGGATTAAGAGGTCATTAGCATATAGAAGGTAGTTTTAAGTATAGATAAAATTCTTCAGACTATAAAATTCCAGATGGAATTCTGAAAGCACCATTTAAGAGATAGATGAAGAGGCAGTCTAGGAAGGAGTGTGAGAAGAGCTCCAGAAAGGTAGGAAAATCAGGAGAGAACATGGAATAGATAAAAGCACAGCAGAGCTTTTCAAGAAAGAGAGTATGATTAGCATCTTAAATACTGTAAAGAAGTTATGCAAGATAATTAATGAAATATATCCCTTAGATTTATATCCCTTAATTGAAATTGAAAATTGAAGGTCAATTTACCTTAACAATTTTAGTAGAATAATGGGGCCAAAAGCCAGACTACAGTGAGTTAAACAACAAATATGAAGAGAGGAGAAAATTACAAATGTTGACTAATTTTCAGTTAGACTATTTGTGAAGCATAGGAAAGAGAGTGACAGCTTCAGGGGAATGCAGACTAGAGGGACTGATGTTGGTTGGTTAGTGGTTTTTTGAGAAATTTAAACATGTTAATTAGGGGGAAATGTCTGTGGAAACTAAAAAACTCTAATGAGTACCTCAATAAAGAAGACTATTGGAATTTTCACTACTTTTTAAGTGAAACTGACCTGGGAATATTCAAATTTGCCTTAAATCATATGATTGTTTTTATTATAATTTTTCCTTATGTACAGGAGTAGTGAGTAATTGTAAAAAAACTTCAGACATTACAGGAGTACATAAAGTAGAAAATAAAAGTCTTCATAACTTCAGTGATAACTATTAGCAATTTGATATATGGTATATATTGTTTTTCTCTCTGCCTATACTGTTACCTATGAGTGGGCACAAATTGTTCTGTAACCTTTTTACTTAACAGTGTAGTCAGCTGATAATTCAGTAATGGAAGTAAAGGTAAAAATAAACTAAGCCTATAGAGTTTTTTACATCTTTGCTATTTAATACATGATTAACCTCCATATTTATTTACAAATACCTTATCTATTCTTTCTCCTTCCTCTTTTAGAGTGGATGTAACTGAAATTCAGATAGCTTTAGTGATTGTCTTTGTATTGTCTGCATTTGGAGGAGCAACAATGTGGGACTATACGGTAAATGCGAATATTTAAATTTATATTTAAGTATTTTAAAGTATTTAGAACAAAGTATTGCATTGTTAATTTTTTTCACAAATTCTTAGCATTGTATTTAATTCTTTTTTTATTGGTGTATTTAATATTTTTTCAATGTCTTAGCATTTTTTCTTTTATTTTATAATGTGTGTTATCCTATATGCCTTATGGCATTTTCTCCTGTGCATGAATATATTGCCATATGGAAGAAAACAGCCTCATTTCCCTAATACCAAATAAAACAAAAACAACAACAAAAAACCCACAGTGGAATACCGTTTTCCAGGGTGACATAAAATAAATATTTAAAAAATAAATCCAGTAAAATATTTTACATTTAAAACTTGTCCCTCAATATTAGGAAAGTAGTTAATTTGCATTTTTATAATCTACTTTGAGGTAAAGTTTTCCATATTAAAGAATGTTTCTATTTTCTGCCCAGTTGGTGACCTCAGTATTTTCATAAAAGTTGGCTTTTGGGAGGCCACTGTCATAAATTTAAGCCTTTTTTGCAAAGGAACATTTCTGAAGGAAAAATTGTCCTGTTATCACAACCTAAGTCCACCATACTGGCTAACTGACTCCCACTTTCTGCTCACAGTGATAACAATAAGGGTATCAGGGGTCAACAACTAATAGTCATTCTGTACTTACATTCCTAAACACTTGCTATCCGTTTTATCTGCCCCTCAGAAGAATCCTATGGAATAGATATTATTATTATTCTGCTTTATAAATAAGTCTTAGGATAATTAAGTAATTTGTCCAAGGACACATGAGAAGTACTGGAGCTAGGAATTAAACAGTCTGATTTCAGACCGTATGTAATCACTAAGCTTTATATCTAGTAAAAATAGTAAATGATACAGAACTAAACATACTTTTACCACATGATCAGCAGTTGCACTCCTTGTTATTTACCTAAATGATTTGAAAACTTAGGTCTACACAAAAACCTGTATGCAAATGTTTATAGCAGCTTTATTCATAATTGCCAAAACTTGAAAGCAACTAAGATGTCCTGCAGTAGGTGAATGGATAAATGATGCTAAAAAGAAATGAGCTATCAAGCCATGAAAAGAAGTTATGCAAGGAACTTATGGAGTTCCAAGAAGTTATGGAGGAACCTTAAATGTTGATTACTAAGAGAAAGAAGCCAATCTGAAAAGGCTGTATATTGTGTAATTCCAACTGTAGGACATTCTTTAAAAATGCAAAATTATAGAGACAGTAAAAAGATAAAGAAGTTACCAAGGGTTGGAGGAGGAAGGGATGAATAGGTGAAGCACAGAGAATTTTTAGGGCAGTAAAACTATTTTGTATGATACTAAATAGTGGCTACATGTCATTATACATTTGTCATAGCACACAGAATGTACAACACCAAGATTCAACTCTAATGTAAACTATGAACTTTGGGTGATAATGATGTGTCAACGTAGGTTCACTAGTTTTAACAAATGTACCACTCTGGTGTAGGATGTTGTTGGCAGGGGAAGGGGTGGCTATATCCTTTTCCACTCAAATTCTGTTGCAAGCCTAAAACCACTCTAAAAAATTAACTCCATTAGAAAGACAGTATGAGGCCAGGAGTTCAAGACCAGCCTGGGCAACATAGCAAGACTTTGTCTCTACAAAAATTCTTTTAAATTTTAGCTGGGCATGGTAGCATGCACCTGTAATCCCAGCTACTCAGGAGGCTGAGGCAGGAGGGTTGATTGAGCTCAGGAATTCGAGGCTGCAGTGAGCCATGATCATGCCACTGACTACACTCCTGCCTGAGCGACAGAGCAAGACCCCACCTTTTTTTTTTTTTAAAGAGTTCCCTGTAGCATTTAGTATCAGAATTGCCAATTATCATTTATCAATAGGCTCCAAAATAGACCTTGGGGATGTTTTCAAGTAGTAGTGATACATTCCCCAGTACATTCATGTTCTCTCTCATCATGTAAGAATAAATAGAATAAAAAATATGCTACTATAGGCCCATATAAGATACCAGAGGGAGGAGGGTATGTGTTTTTTATAGTGACTGTTCAGGTTGTGCCCATAAGAATGTAAATGTACGGGTGGATCACCTGAGGTCAGGAGTTCAAGACCAGCCTGACCAACATGGCAAAACCTCATCTCTACTGAAAATACAAAAATTAGCCAGGTATGGTGGTAGGCACCTGTAATCCCAGCTGAGGCAGGAGAATCACTTGAACCTGGGGGCAGAGGTTGCAGTGAGCCGAGATTATGCCACTTCACTCCTGCCCTGGGCAACTCCATCTCAAAAGGAAAGAAAAGAAATGTAGACCTAAAAGCAGTTTGACAACTCTAGTTATTAAGTCAGGTATGGTTGTCTTAAATTTGGAATTGAATCTTAAAATTGTTTCACTCAATGTTTTGGCAGTATCATAGGAAGAAAACATACCTGCTTATTTTTACCAACAAGAATACTTGATTTTGATTCACGTTTTCTAAATGTAATTATTACCCTGTAGTTTCCACAAATTCTGGTATATTATTTCAGTCTGTTTTCTAAACATAGTAGCCTATAGCTTCTGGCAATTCATTGTTACTGTTTTTTAAATCCTTTGCTGCCTTTGGAAGTTTTCTTGAACAGCATTTGACCAACAGGTAAATATATTGCTAGAGATTTCATCCTGGATATTAACTACACAGATTTTTGCATGCATACACATCATATTTGTTATATTTATGATGCAGATCATGGTGTCTCCATTTCCTGTGATGCTACTTTTTAGAAGCTACTAGATTCAAGTGAACTATCCTTTTTCATATTTAAGTCAGATGAAAGCTTATGAGATTAAACATTTAATCACAGTTACAGATTCATTTTTCACTTATGAATAAAGCAGTTTCCAAAAAAGTCACTTTAGACTGTCCAAACGTAGTCAGTTATCTCAAATGATTGCTCACGGTTACAGATCGAACTCCTTGCTCTTCTCTTTTCCCCCATCATGACTGCACTTGACTAGTCTGAAGAAAATAATAAAAATTAAAAAAAAAAAAAGATTTTAAGTTATGACTTTGGACTATATTCCAGAAGTTAAGGTTTGATCACAAGAAAAGGGTAGCTTATTGTATAGGGCTTATCATTATGTTTCTTTATTATTTGATAAAAAACAAAATTCTGTTGTCTTATTATTTGTTTCTTTCTTCTACTCCTAAAGATTCCCATTCTAGAAATAAAATTGAAGATCCTTCCAGTTCTTGGCGTACTAGGTGGAGTAATATTTTCCTGTTCAAATTATTTCCATGTTATCCTCCATGGTGGTGTTGGCAAGAATGGATCCACTATAGCAGTAAGGCATTAATGTCATCATTCAGTATTAATTTTATAATTATTAATTTTATATATAAATTATTAATTTTATAATAAATTTTCCTATCACCAGCTTAAAGATTAAAATATGCTGAAGTTCAAGAATGGGGAAGGAAACTAAGTATCTTAAAGAATTCAATTTAGGCACATAAGTACAAAAGCAGTTTAAAAATAGTTTAGACTGATAAAATATTTTCCTTTTTCTACAGCCTTGCTCTACATAGACTTTTCTGACATCTAGTTTCATTACTGCACATAATTAGGAGTTGCCATTTGTTTTCCTGCATTTTATGCCTTGAACTAATAGGGGATAGGAGGAAGAGTAGGGAATGTCTGAGTTTCTAACGGAAGGCAGGAAAGCAGCCAGAGGTCCATGGTTTCACATACGGGGTAATTTATTACTCATCACATAAATTTTATTGAAGTTTCACTGAAATATATTAAAAATAACTATTCTAATATTTCAAAAGGTAAAATTGTTAACCTTAATTCTTAAGTGGATATACTTTGTGCTGTGTTCTTTACACCTTCCTCATGCAAGTATTACGTATAAACTTTTGTATTCTTTTTTTTAAAAAAAAAAACTTCAGTACTTTTAAGTGGGAAAGAGTTGGGATTCCTGCCAACTTTTTAAACAAATACAACACTGAAGTTTTTAAAAAATCTTTTATCATTTTCAAAGTAGTTGAACAGAAGAAGACAAATTCTTATTCCAGTAATACCATCTTATACCAAAACATTGTTAGAATGCCTTTTTTAGGGCATTAGGTATAGCGTTTTTAGAAAAAAGTGTCTCATTCTTTTAAAAGACTTGTAAATTGACTTTCAAGACAATCTCAAAGGGATCCTCATAATTCATAAATTATCAATATCTATGAATACATTTTATATACATAATTCAAAAGCAAAGTATACAATTTATCTAGAAATATAAGTTCTGATATATTTGGAAAAGTTGTCATTTTTTGGGATGTTTTGTCAGTTGATCTCAATATAGTACTGTGCTTAGGAATACATGATGCTTGACCGTGGATGACAACATAGAACGTTAGTTGGAACGTAAGTTCCACTGAAGAAAACAAGATTTAGTATGATCATTGTCTACTGTAGAGAATATTTTCTTAAAAAATAACTGTTAGATGTTTGAAGAATGACTTAAACACAAGTTAAAAAGTGGTTGGTTTCAAACTCTTAAACTGGTGTTTTTCTTTTCTAGGAGCAGATTTTTTTTCTTGATTGAATCTAAGAACCATAATATAAAGTGCTATTAGATTTTTATAATTTATTACTCTATAGTTTCTTATGAAAAAATTTTGTATTATACTATTACTGTAACTTTATAGTAAGTTCTACGTTAAAACATGCACACTTAATAAACAAGAATAAAGCTGTTCTTATGAACCCATTTAAATTGGTTATAGATTTAATAACCTCAATACCAAACTTATTTCAATATTTTGTTTAGGATAAGCAGTGCTGAGAGGATACTGATTCACATAGATAAAAATGTAATAATCTAGATTGTACGGTTTTATATAAAAGAACATTTGCAGTCTGAATGCAATAAAAAAGGAGGTGGGGATGTTGGTGTAGAAAGAAACTAGGATAGGCTGTGTGTGGTGGCTCATGCCTGTAATCCCAGCACTTTGGGAAGCTGAGACAGGAAGGATTGCTTGAGCCCAGGAGTTCGAGACTGGCCTGGGCAAGATAGGAATGATAAGAAGAAAATAGGAAAAAAGAAGGGAACCTGGATAGAACTAAACTCTCCTTAATCAGTGACATTTTGCAGAATTGACAGAATAAGCTTTATTTCACTATCTCCACAAAAATATGTTAATTTGACAATCTACATGTGGATGACCTTCAACATAGTAAAAGTTGAAGAATAAACTGCATTACAGTTTAAAACGTGTGTGAATATCAAACTGGAATCAGACATCTGTGGCACTGTATTATGTCTCTGTCTCTCTCAAGTTCTACTAAAGCTTGAAAAGCACAACTAAGGTTTGCATACTCCTGTAGGCCATACACTACATCACACATTGTTCTTTAGGTCTCTTGCACAAAATAGATGATTAAAAAATATCTGCATTGTAGGCTGGGCGCGGTGGCTCAAGCCTGTAATCCCAGCACTTTGGGAGGCCGAGGCGGGTAGATCACGAGGTCAACAGATCGAGACCATCCTGGTCAACATGGTGAAACCCCATCGCTACTAAAAATACAAAAAATTAGCTGGGCATGGTGGCACGTGCCTGTAATCCCAGCTACTCAGGAGGCTGAGGCAGGAGAATTGCCTGAACCCAGGAGGCGGAGGTTGCAGTGAGCCGAGATCGCGCCATTGCACTCCAGCCTGGGTAACGATCGAAACTCCGTCTCAAAAAAAAAAAAAAAAAAAAAAAAAAAAATCTGCATTGTAATAAACGCAGTGTTAAAATGTGATACTGATTTTCTGCTTTATCCCTTAGGGCACCAGTGTCTTGTCACCCGGACTCCACATAGGACTAATTATTATACTGGCAATAATGATCTATAAAAAGTCAGCAACTGATGTGTTTGAAAAACATCCTTGTCTTTATACCCTAATGTTTGGATGTGTTTTTGCTAAAGTCTCACAAAAATTAGTGGTAAGAAATTTTTATGATTCATGATATAAATAATATACTTAGTCCTCAAACACAAAGCTGGAAATTATTCTGTACAGGTTTTCTTTTGTGGTGTCAAAATCATAATAATTAGCTATTTGTGCTCCAAGCAAAACTGTGATAGGAGTTATGTTATATTCAGTTAAATTAATTGTTTAGCTGTAGTTATCATTTACAACTTCTGTTTTCAAGGAATTTAAACATTGGAAACTTTAATAAGCTATCCAGTCATGAATTTGAGAAGGTTTAGAAAAGTATTTTTATATCAAATGGGAGATTAAAAGGTCTGTTTTAATACTGAATTAAAGTTATAATTAATTCTGTCTTAAAAATAAAAGCTAACACATTTAAAACTTAATAATAAAATTATTTTGTTTAATTTTTATAGATAGCTCACATGACCAAAAGTGAACTGCATCTTCAAGACACTGTCTTTTTGGGGCCAGGTCTTTTGTTTTTAGACCAGTACTTCAATAATTTTATAGACGAATATGTTGTTCTATGGATAGCAATGGTAAGTATTTATTCTGCATTTTATTTATTTTTTTTAACAATGCTTAAGAACCATTTCAGTGAGATATCAGTAGCCTCAAGATCTAGTTTATGCAGGACACAGTGACATATGCCTGTAGTCCCAGCTACTTAGGAGGCCAAGGCAAGAGAATTGCTTGAACCTGGGAGGCAGAGGTTGTAGTGAGCCAGGATCGCACCATTGCACTCCAGCCTGGGCAACAAAAGCAAAACTCTGTCTCAAAAAAAAAAAAAAAATTGTATCTGTTCTGTGCATCAGTTATAAGAGTACATCTGATGATCTTTCACTAGGTTGTGTACTATGTTCTTTCTGGAGTAAGTTAATAACTTAATAATCATTCATAGTGCATTCAGAAGGCTTCCATCCTTCCTATGCTAGCAGTGAGATGTACTTAATTCTTTGAGAGGGACAATGAACATTTTCAGGTAAAATTTAAAAAAAAAGTTTCAAAACCCGAATAATTACCTTTAATATGCACTATAAATATTTTTTAGGGCTCCAAAACTATCCAGTTTTAAAATAGGGGGTAATTAATCAAAATATCTAAAAACTCAGTGTAAGTTTTCTTTTAGTGAACTTCGGTATGTATTACCAAGTAGAATTGTTGAATTAAAATGTCAGATGTTAAAAAAATCAAGCATCTGCTGAGAGCAGTGGCTCACGCCTGTAATCCCAGCACTTTGGGAGGCTGAGGCCGGCAGATCTCGAGGTCAGGAGATCGAGACCATCCTGACCAACATGGTGAAACCCCGTCTCTACTAAAACAAAAATTAGCTGGGCATGGTGGCGCACACCTGTAGTCCCAGCTACTTGAGAGGCTGAGGCAGGAGAATTGCTTGAATCCAGGAGGAGGAGATTGCAGTGAGCCAAGGTTGCGCCCCTGTACTCCAGCCTGGCGACAGAGTGAGACTCTGTCTCAAAAAAAAAAAAAAAAAATCAAGCATCTGTTGTAACAAGTAATTGGCCTGGTTTATACCCATGATGGAGACTGGTAAACTGAGGAAGTCAAATTCAATTTTTCTTTAAATTCTATATAGATGACCAAAAAAAAAAAAAAAGTCATACACACAATGTAGGGGTAAACATGGTGCTTTTCAAGTAAGTTTTTCAAGTAAATGATAGAGATTTTCCCCTCATGGGTGAGAATTCCCTCTCCAAGGGCAGAGCTATGAGGCTCCTATTTCACTTGCATTTCATTTTCTGAAGAGAACCTTTTGACTGTCAACTCTGGGCAAAGTTTCTAAATAGAGGCCCTCTTTAAATTTTAAAACACAATTTTGTATATGCCTCAGGTATGGTATCTTTTCTAGACCTTTTACCTTCATACAACTTACCTCAAAGAAATAGAAATGTATATGATGGAATTAGTTCCTTATAATATGGCTGATGGAAGGAAATTTGTGGCTTCATTGCACAGCAGAAAGTTGAAACAATGTCAAGTCAGGAGACTTGGGTTCTATTATTTTCTAGCTTCTGTATTTTAGTCGTCTTTTTTTTACTTCTGAGCCTCAGTGTCTGTAACTGTGAAATAACCTGCATTTTCCAGAAGACTACAGTGAGGTCCAAATATGAAATGTATTAATGTGCTTTAAAATGTAGTATTTTTGGTGAAGAATTTTAGGTTAAATTTTGATATTTGAGGGAAAAACAGAATTGTGCTACTTGAGAAAAGGTAGATCATAATCCATTTCATATTTTCTTTTTTACTTCTAAAGGTCATTTCTTCATTTGATATGGTGATATACTTTAGTGCTTTGTGCCTGCAAATTTCAAGACACCTTCATCTAAATATATTCAAGACTGCATGCCATCAAGCTCCTGAACAGGTTCACAAGCATACTGACTGACTAATAGCCCAAGGAAAAGAGGAGATGAAGTTAGGGGAATCTATGTGAAGGAAATCCCCCCTGTGCAGGAGGCTAGTATACTATCAAATAAGGTTATATTTGAATATAAAACATAAACCCTGCAGATTCCATTGTGTCTATTTCAGTTATGAAGCCCCCATTGTATTTTTTTTATCACAGGTGTTCTCAGAATAATACAGTCTACATATTAATTAGAAACTAAAGACATTTCAATCCTGAGGACAAGAAAGAGAACCCCTGTAATTCTAAGTAGCAGTTTGTTTCTGAGACTTATCAGACACAGGGTTTTCATGGCCAAAGGATTACATAAATATTTAGAACATAAAGGATTTTAGCCAACTTGAGGGTGCTTACTTTGATTGCTAAAAACTGAAAAGTGAGCTCATAATACTGCTTAAGTGCATGGATTATAATATTGTAATTACTGAGTCATGTGATGTTATGAGAAATTTTTTTTATACTAGTCATTTTTCAAAAGAGGCATGTTAATTAGTATGTTATAATAGAAAATACTTGCTTTAGTATACTAGAATTTAAAAGAGCTCCAGGAATTTTAAAAATAAAGTTTGTATTTAATAAAAGGAATTTATTGTACCAATTCAGAAAAACATATGAATCTTTACACCAAAGGTAACTTGTTCCTTGATATTTTCAGTTCAAATTTCATTGTCACCAAAAAGTGGATGTTAAATATTCCCTTTTATGAAAAATGAAACAGTAGCTAAAAGTTAGTTGACATGTAATTAGTAACTTAGAAAAACATGGTAAAAAATATCTCCCCTTTAGAAAGCCAAAGCCAAAGTTATTTCAAGTACACAGACTCATTTGATGTGATAAGGAATAAAATAAGTAAAAGTTATTCAACCAATAAATACATTAGGTACTGATATCTTTCCGCTCTAATTTAAATGTATTTAGATTACTCCTTATGAATACTACTACAACTGTCACAAAGATCTGGAGATCCAAATCTTCAGAGTCCCATCTGACCCTATTTTTAATTTGATATAATAGTTCAGTAGACTATATGCCATATGATGAAGTAATCAGAAAAAGGAGTAATGAACCTGTGTTACATTTGTTTTAGGCAAGAAAAAGGCATATTGAAGAAAACAGTAAAAGATATTTCTTAAAAGCAAAAAATATATATTTATGTGAATTAAGTATACAGAAAACATTGGAGTACTTATTTTGCCTCTAACTATTGGTAAAACTTCCCAAATAAGGATTTTCTTACAAGGATGAATAGTACTTAAGATTTACATTCCAATATATACTTTGGCTTAAAAGGAAAATCCTTTACAAAGCTCAAAATTTTAGGAAGTAATGTCAAATATTCGTAAATGGTGGAAGACTAATTTCTTCCTGTACAAGTAGGTTGTCACAGTTATAAAAGTTTGTCTGTGTACACCTTTTTTTTAAAAAAATTGGAAAACATTGTAACTAAGATAAGAGTAGGTTTTAGAGGCAAACCCCCGTCTCTACTAAAAATACAAAAATAAGCCGGGGGTGGTGGCAAGTGTCTGTAGTTTCAGCTACTTGGGAAGCTGAGGCAGGAGAATTGCTTGAACCTGTGAGGTGGAGGTTGCAGTGAGCCAAGATTGTGCCACTGCACTCCAGCCAGGGTGAGAGAGTAAGATTCCATCTCAAAAAATAAATAAATAAAGACAGATGTGGTGTACTCGAACCCTAAGTAGATATGTTAATGATGTGCTTTTAATTTAATGGCAGACCAAGCCCAATTAAGTGACATTTTGATGTCTTTGTGGCAATAACATATTCACAAATCCATGTCTTAAAACTGATACTTATATATTGTTCTATTGCTAGTGATTTCATGTTCAGAGGTGATTTTAGCAATTTATTCCAGAACACAAATTTAAATGCAGCTTATTGTCATTAGAAGTGGCTGTATAACTTAAGTATATAGAAAAGGATGTACATGTAAAACAGATTTTGTATTCTTTTTTTTCCCTTAAAGAATAGACCCTTCTATATTTTCTATGGAAGCATTTTCTACGTTTTGGGATTAATACAAATACAATGAAGCCAAACGTAAAATTAAATTCTTTATTTAATTGATAGTGTTAACAGAAAAATTCACTATCATTACTAAAGAGCTGAAAACTCAATACATATTCTTTAGGAGTAGTTGCTAACTCACATTTTAGATTTGGCTTAACAGAAAGAGAAGTCTTATAATGAAACAGATTTATTATTAAAGATGTTATAAGCAAGCTACTAAAGACTTACAATATGCTTCTTAGCTAATATAACTGTATCATATTACTTAGGTTCAAGTTCTTTCTTCAAAGAGTCATCAGAATAACATGGATTGAAGAGACTTCCGAACACATGCTATCTCTTGCTGCTGCTGTTTCATGGAAGGAGATATTAAACATTTGTTTAATTTTTAGTTAACTGTTATACCTATTTCAGCAAATAAAATATTTCATTGCTTATATTAATCCTTATTTTTTCAATTTCAATATGATCACTTACAGTTTCCATCATAATTTTTTTCTGCAACATAGCCATTTCTTTTTTAAATTCATTTTGTGCACCAGTAAGTAGATTATCATGATTCTTCTCCAACTCTTCCATACTCTAAAAACACAAAAGACTAGTTAAGCTACAAAGCGCCACTTTTTATCTCAGGTTCTAAACTTGTCCAATTAATTTTCAAAAGTAGTAATTTAAAAATATTCAAATGCATATTACTTATTTGAAATAAAAAATATTCTAAGTAATACATGAATACCAAACTACCTACTAAAAAGGAAAAAAAAAATCAGATGTGAATAAAATATTATGAGAAGTACAATATATAGTATATTTTGCCCAAAATGGGCTTCATGAACTGTTAAGGTCAAGATAAAAAAGACTGAAAGTCTCATATCAGTAAATACCATTGCTATTAAGTTTTCCAAATATCGAGTAATAATGTACTTATGACTAATAGTGTGCCATTAATTCACTAGAGGGAATAAAATAATCTGTAGTACTACCTCTTTCAAGTTGTAAAAAATAAAAATTATGTTTTACATCTTTATTATTTATTCAACAAATAGTTAATCTAGTGCCTACTATATAAAAGGTGCTATATTAAGTGCTGTGGAGAAATTAAAAAATAATACATGATTGCTTCCTGATGACAATAAGAAAAAAACATAGGAACGAAACAAAAATTTTATAATAGGAATAGAAACACAACTTGCTGTGGCTGTATAGTGGAAAATGGAGATTAATTCCAATTTAGTTGGCAAAACACTAAGATTTCAATAAAGAATAAGGAGTTAAAAATATTCCAGGGGAAGGGCAGAAGCATGGAAGTGAGTTGAGAGAAAGTAATTATATGGAGGGGTAGGGTAATGGATAAATGTAGTAAATGAAGCTTAAAAAGAGGGTCATGTCATAGGGGGATCTTGAATTTAGAATGGGAGGCTACTGACAGTTTTCAAGATGGAAGATACAGTTTTAAAAGATAATATAACAGATCTAGGAAGGATAGATTGGAGAACAGAGAAATCAGTTAAGAATTTTAATGGTACGAGCAAATAATAATGAGGTCCTAAACGAGTAGCAGTGGGAATTAAAAGAACCACTGCAGAGGTAAAAATTACAGGGCCTAGTAATTGAATGTAACAGAAAGGATATGGAGGAATGAAAGGTTATACTATAGTTTCTATCCTAACTAGTAACATTTAGTGATAACTTTTAGAAGAAATCTTTATCTAGTACTTTATCTTGCACCAATTACCAAATGGTTCAATATACTTTTTTTATACTTGTTGGCATTACAGCAAGCCAACAAGTTTTCCATTTGGAAATACTTTTTAAAGTAACATGTGTGTGTGTGTGTGTGTGTGTGTATAATTTCTTTTTTTTTTTTTTTTGAGACCAGGGTCTCACTGTTGCCCAGGCTGGAGTATAGTAGGATTTCAGCTCACTGCAACCTTTGCCTCAAGGGGTCAAGCAATCCTCCCACCTTAGCCTCCCAAGTAGCTGGGACTACAAGTGAGTGCCACCATGACCAGCTATTTTTTTCATTTGTTTGGTTTTTAAATAGAGTGGGGTTTTGTCATGTTGCTCAGGCTGGTCTTGAATTCCTGGGCTCAAGTGATGCTCCCACCTTGGCCTCCCAAAGTGTGAGCCAGTGTGCTTGGCCATATATATTATTTTGAAATATTTATTTTAAAACAATTTGACTAGTTTACTCAGAGTGTCCCAATTCCTTTAATGTCATTTTAACATGTATTTGAACAAGAGTATTAAAGGAACCACCACTGAAAAAAAGTTTATGCAAGATTCCATTGAGCTTCTGTGAATAGTTACTAAAAAGTATATTTCTGCCTGAACAAGAGGGGTACAGACTACAATTTGCTAATACGTATGTGTCAGTAGATAATTATCAATCCAGACTCTTAATCCTCAGATGTTTACTATATCGATTATTTTATGTTGGTATGTAAATTCATTTTTGGTCCCTGTAATAATTCTAAAAGCAAATATGCCATAAAATACTTCTATAATACATTTGAAAACAAGAGACTTCAATAATTTGGGTACTTTCTATTTAACAAATACTAGGGATACAATAACAAGTAAAACGCAACCTAAAAATGATTACTATAGACTCTATTTACAGTTAAACAGAGAACTATGACTAAAGTGTTACTAAAATATGAATTTTATGCATTATAAGTACATTTCTAAGTAAAATTCCCAATTTACCATTTCCTGTCTTGAACAACCCCAACAAAACCATCTGAATCCTAAAGTAAAAATACACGTATCACTTAAATCAGAAACAATGAATTCAAAATGGAAAAGTAGTTAAAAATCTAAAAAAAAGTTCTATAAACTTAGAAATAATTATCTTTTACTTCTGTAAATATATTATGTTTTATAACAATGTATTGTGTTGCCACATACAACAAACCTTTATGAACTGCTCATATAACTGTCTAATTGTTTTCAGTCTCTGGCTCTGAACAATTCTAGATTGTTGAAGAATCTTTTGTTGCTGTCGAAACATATTCTACAAATATAAAAGAAAAAAAACGTGTAGTAACAATTTGGGTAAAATTTTAAATTTGGAAAAAATAATTCTACATTAAACTTAAACTTTTAAAAATCAGAGCTTTTAAAATTTTAACAACTATTATGACCATGTTTAGATAATTTGTGTTCACCACTAATATGTAACAATATATTAATCCTACCAGTTGCTGAAAGGGAAATTTAGCAATAATCAAGACATTCTTGGTGATTTCATGTCCACACAGATGATCCTTCCAATAATAATGGTCTTTCAGTTCTTTGACCTGTTTCCCAGTGATTTTGTCCTCCACCCTACTTTAGCCATTGACTTACATACTCCCACCCTAGATTTTGTCATTACCAATAACTCTAACCACTACACAGTATTAATAATGGTAAACTTTTTGAGAGACAGAGATACTCATCATTCCCCTTTCATAGATAAGTTAACTGAGACATAATCTGTCCATGGCTTCACAGCTACAATTGCTCAAACAAGAATTTGATCCCAAACAGTATTGTTTCTGGCATCCAGGATCTAACCATTATACATACTGTTTCTCTATATATCCTAGTATTTAACCACTAGCTCTTTATCATTCTAACTTACTCTCTTTAGTACTACAGTTCAATAATATATCTGCACCACAAATCCATCCTATCTACTTTCCTATCACCCCTATCCCAGTTTCCTTACTGGCAGGTAACACAAATCTGGCCATTAAAAGTCAACCATGTTCTGACTACAGATGTCTTTTGGTATCCTGGGGGACCAGTTCCAGGACACTCAACCCCTCAGGAGACCAAAATCTGCAGATGCTTGAGTTCCTAATATAAAATGTATCATATTTGCATATAACCAATACACATCCTTCCACATACTTTAAATCATTTCTAGATCTCTTATAATACCTAATACAATGTAAATGCTATATAGTTGTTACAGTGGATTACTTTTCCAGTTTGTATTTTTTATTGTTTTTTTTTTAAGAAAGTGTCTGGAGAGCAGTGGCACCATCTCAGCTCACTGCAACCTTCGCCTCCCAGTTCAAGCTATTCTCCCACCTCAGCCTCCTAACTGGGATTACAGGCATGCACCACCACAGCCGGCTAATCTTTGTTTTTAGTAGACAGGATTTCGGCATATTGGTCAGCCTGGTCTCGAACTCCTGACCTCAGGTGATCCACCCACCTCGGCCTCCCAAAGTGCTGGGATTACAGGCATGAGCCACCACACTTGGCCTCTTCCAAATATTTTTCATCCACAATTGGTTGAATACACAGATATGGAACCTACACATACAGAGGGCTAACTATACAATGACTGGTTCAAGAATATGCAAATGATTCAAACTACATCAGTCATATCTTTTCAGGGGAATTTTCTGCCAGAGGTATTGAGAAAGATTTTCTCAGTCCACTGGGGTTATTAAACTTGTAATAAGCCTAGGACTGTAAAAACTATCTTGCTTACTACATCAAGACACCTTACTGAGAACTGATGACAGAACCCAGATGACACTACATGAGCAACCTCTTCCCTGTTCCCATCCACCTATGCCTGAAGCTAAACTGTCCCAACTTCTTTTGTATAAACCAATAATCCTTCTTTTGTACACTGACAAATTTCTGTCACTTGGAAATGCAAGAATCCCAACCAATTTAAGAAGCAAAGACCAGGCCGGGCACGGTGGCTCAAGCCTGTAATCCCAGCACTTTGGGAGGCCGAGGAGGGTAGATCACGAGGTCAACAGATCGAGACCATCCTGGTCAACATGGTGAAACCCCGCCTCTACTAAAAATTACAAAAAATTTAGCTGGGCACGGTGGTGCGTGCCTGTAATCCCAGCTACTCAGGAGGCTGAGGCAGGAGAATTGCCTGAACCCAGGGGGTGGAGGTTGCGGTGAGCCGAGATCGTGCCATTGCACTCCAGCCTGGGTAACAGGAGCGAAACTCCGTCTCAAAAAAAAAAAGAAGAAGCAAAGACCAATGACTTTTATGAGTATGGTATGTGCCTCTACTTCCATGGTTTACAGTTCAGCAAGACTAAAACACATGGCCAACAATGGTTAATGAAACCTGGCTCAGTTCCATTGGTCATAGTAAAAGGCTAGGTTCTCCATTTCTACTTGAGACTTGGTTATAACAGATTAATTATAAATCTAATCATGATACCAACAAGTATTTTTTCTTCTTGTTCTTCAGCTTTCTGCATATCTAAATCCCACTGCTGAAACAAAGTCAGAAACTGCTGAGAATATTCTTGGTTAAGTTTCTGCCTGTAAAACATAACAATGAATTATTATCACATTTCATACCAATATAAAAAGAATTTAAAACAAAACCAAGTTGACACATTTTTACTATATAAAAGAAGGAAATATCTGCAGCTTAAGTCTTCTGATGGGAAACCAAGAAGTGAAGTTATCATTTACGCTGATTCCAGAAATATTTTTTTCTAACAAGCTAATAGAAGAAAAGCCCTGTCACAAGCTTTAGCTCTTGAAAACTAAAAGTTTTATTGTATACATAAATTTTCAAAAATAAATTTATCTTATCTCCAGTTTATTTTTCCTACTGAATATAGATTCTGATAAAACAAATAGATTAAATAAAGTATTTGTATTTACCGTTTAAGATTTCTAAATAGAAATATTTTACTTAGTTTTTTTCCCTGTTTTGGCTTAACAAAGATTTTGTACAAGAGTTAAGTCAGCTAAAACATACGAATTACACACAATATAAGGCTGGTGTTTTTCTGTTGTTGAACATAATTCACCATCGTAAGACTAATGGTTTTTATGACATTTACCTTTTATTCAACTAGTGTATTCCTAGAATGAATATAAATGACTTTTAAGGCTGGGCGTGGTGGCTCATGCCTGTAATCCCAACACTTTAGGGGGCTGAAGTGGGAGGACTGCTTGAGCCTAAGAGTTTAAGACCAGCCTGGAGCAACACAGTGAGACTCTCATCTCAAAAAAAACAAACAAACAAATTACTTTATAACCTCAATTGTTACCCAAAAGGAAGAAAGTGATCTTTCCTGATTTTTTAGGAAATATATGTCAAATCTATGAAGGAGTGAGGTTATAGGGCTAAAGGAATACCATACTTAGAGAAAAATCAGGCCAAATACATTTTTGCTAGAAAACCCAATTAACTAGAATAGTATTTTTCTTTTCTTTTTTTTTGTAGACAGAGTCTCACTCTGTTGCCCAGGCTGGAGTGCACTGAAATGATCTCAGCTCACTGTAACCTCTGCCTCCTGGGTTCAAGCAAGCACACCTGGTTAATTTTTGCATTTTTAGTAGAGAGGGGGTTTCACTATGTTGGGCAGGCTGGTCTCGAACTCCTGACTTCAAATGATCTGCCTGCCTTGGCCTCCCAAAGTGCTGGGATTACAGGCATGAGCCACCGTGTCTAGCCTAGAATTGTATTTTTCATCAGTAATTTACACCAATAAATACTAAGAAATGTAGCTCTTAAAAAAAAAAAAAAGCAACCACCTTACCTTTGATCTTGTTGTGTTTTCCAAACATGTTCGATTTTCTGGTTGCTAGTTTTGAGAGAAGCCTTGGTATACATTTCTAGTCTCTTTCTCTTGGCAAGAAGAGCCTTGTTAATGTCAACTAGATTGAAAATAAAAATTCACTAAAATTTAATGTTGAAAAAAGTATTTTGTTCCCACATATTCAAGTAAATATGGGTAAGGTTGGTTCAGCAATATTGGAAAGACATTTAAACTTAAATTTAGAAATAAGCATAATTTCAAAATACAGAATTATTTGCTTACTTTTTTTTTTTTTCTGAGAAAACTCTCAATTAGTAGTACCCAAATTCTGATTTTCCTAACTGGAGATAATTTAACTTGGGAACAGTAAATATGAGCTAATAAACAAAACAATGTGTCAAGAGCAGACTTTAATTTCCTCATGAGAAAACACTGTTAATAAAGACTGAATTAAGGCCAGGCAGGGTGGCTCACTGCTGTAATCCCAGCACTTTGGGAGGCTGAGGTGGGAAGATCACGAGATCAAGAGATCAAGACCATCCTGGCCAATATGGGGAAACCCTGTCTCTACTAAAAATACAAAAATTAGCTGGGTGTGGTGCCACACACCTGTAGTCCCAGCTACTAGGGAGGCTGAGGCAGGAGACTTGCTTGAACCTGGGAGGCAGAGGTTACAATGAGCCGATATTGTGTCACTGCATTCACTGCACTCCAGCCTGGCGACAGAGTGAGACTCCGTCTCAAAAATAAAGCTAATTTTATCTAAATTTATAAAATATGCCCCAACTGAAAGGACACATTTCAGTGAATTATTGATAGAACTCATTACAGAAAATATGCAAAAGTACTCTATTAAAAAACAGAATCCAAAAAGGACAAAAGTTATATCAAAGAACAAGAAAACTATTTTTAATACAATCAATTATATATATATATATTTATATTTAAGACATAGGGGTGTCTCACTATGTTGAGCAAGCTGGTCTTGAACTCCTGGCCTCAACTCCCTGCCTTGGCCTTCCAAAATGCTAGAATTTCAGGTGTGAGCCCCTGTGCCTGGCCATCAATGATACTTTTAAATACATTTTTTTACTAAAAGAGACAAAGACCAAGGACAGAAAAATCTTTAAGTAAATTTCTAGATAAATTAACTCAAGATCACTTTATTTTTTCAATGAGAAATAGGTGAATAAGATCACTTTTAAATGCTTTTGTGGAGCTCTTTATTGGGCATTTTTACCCACAAGAACTGCATTCCATAAAATGTTTACTACTTCAAAGAATGCTTTGCTAAACATAAGCTTTTATTGTACGGATCTACCATAAATAGGTATCTTTCAGTAATCATGATAGAGCTGTACTATTACATAAATATTTTGTACTTTCAGTATTATCTATAATAAATGTATAAAAAAGCACTTTTTCACCACCAGATAGAGCAAAGCTTTCAAAAAAATTTGATTGTATGAATAATTCATTTAGAGGAGCTAAATATTAACTTTTTTAAGATAACTAATCCCTACCAAAGCTCATATTACTGATATTTAATGTATTATTTAAAACTTGAGAATTTTTTAAACCAATTATAAAACTCTCACTATCTAGCAAAATTGTCTTTAGTATCAACTATATAGTTTACTATTAATATAAAAAGTTATTTTAGAGGCTTCAATTTTTACTGTTCTCCCTAAAGAACACAGGAAAAGTCAGAAAATAAACTGAAAAAATGAAAAACTGATATATATACACAAATATATATATACGTTTATGTGTATCACTTAGTTTGCGAAATGAAAAACTGATATATATACACAAATATATGTATACGTTTATGTGTATCACTTAGTCCGTGAATACAAAGAAGGGTAAAGACTTTCCTGTCCATTTTTGTCCTAAGATTCCATAACCCATTAAATTCACATATGTATAAAATAAAAGCACTATTTACTCTTAACATCATTGAAAAAATTAAGTATGAAAATCTATGATGCTAAATCACAAATACTTATGCAGAATCTTTTATGTGAGAACAAGGCTTAAATAATAATCTTATAGTACATTATTAACATTTCCTATTAAACAAATTATATGGTTTAAAACAATTTTCTTTAAATACAAGTATCTCCTTAAACATACCTCCAACTCCTTCCAGCATATTCTGTACTTCACACCTGTAAAGAAATTACATTTTAAAAACATTTAGTTGGGCTGGGCGCGGTGGCTCAAGCCTGTAATCCCAGCACTTTGGGAGGCCGAGGCGGGTGGATCACAAGGTCGAGAGATTGAGACCAACCTGGTCAACATGGTGAAACCCCGTCTCTACTAAAATACAAAAAATTAGCTGGGCATGGTGGCGCGTGCCTGTAATCCCGGCTACTCAGGAGGCTGAGGCAGGAGAATTGCCTGAACCCAGGAGGCGGAGGTTGCGGTGAGCCGAGATCGCCCATTGCACTCCAGCCTGGGTAACAAGAGCGAAACTCCGTCTCAAAAAAATAAAATAAAATAAAATAAAAAATAAATAAAAACATTTAGTTAAAGATCCACCAAATGCCATGCTTGTTTTGGAAGAAATATCAGATCCCAGGTATTTTACATATACTACTTGTTAGACAGCCAAAGTAAACTTTTATTGAAGTGCTTTATCTAAGAAACAAAAATTATTTTGAACATGTTACCCCATATCTTCAACTACTCCTGCAGAAGATCTTTTCTTCCTAGGTTTCTCAATGACTGTAGTCTTCCCTGTATTGACAATTAAAAAAAAAAAACGTTTGAAACTGAATAGGCTATTTTAGTACATTTTAATGAAATATCTTCATTTGGGGATTTTTATGCTTCAAAGCAGACATACAAATGCAACATTCTCGGCAGGTTAGATGAAATTAAATCAGGGCCGGGTGCGGTGGGTATCTCACGCCTGTAATCCTAGCACTTTGGGAGGATGAGGTGGGTGGATCACCTGAGGTCAGGAGTTCAACCAGCCTGGCCATCATGGTGAAACCCCATCTTTAAAAAAACAAACAAACGAAATTAAATCAGGATTTAGGTCCATTTTATAGGAACAATTTTTCAAGTCTGCGTGGGTTAATGTCACAGTAAGCCACATACTATATATCAAATATTTTGAAATAACTGCAAAAGCAAGAGTTGCCGCACAAGCTTCTGTAATTCCAATACTGCAGTATAAGGATCAAATGAGAAAGGCAAAGTACAGTGGCCATCTGTGTCAGCAGGTTCTGAAACCGCAAATATCGAGGGAGGGAAGACTACACCTGAAAATGCTTTACAAACTAAGTTGTATGATAGTCTTTAATTGGTTCAAAACAAATGAACTGGAAGACATCACTGCTCAACATGAGATGTACTGCACCTTCAGTAACATCTTCCTCTGAACCACTCGGATCTTTCTTTTCTTCAGTCTCAAAGTCATAGGCTCTGGTAAACTGATCTTCCATGGATGGCTTCCCAGATTTCCTGGAATACTTTTTTCCGGAGGACACCATATCTAGTTGCTTCCTGACCTTAAAAAACAAATGTCTTGAACTTTCTGAATCCAAAGGCATCATTTTAATACACTGGTAAAATTTTAAATATTAAAGGAGATGAAGAACAAGGATTGCTGAATAAAATTTTAAATTTCCTCATTTATTTGAGGGGCCAAAAATTATGAAAGATAATGACATTTGTTAACAATAAATAAATAGGCCGGGTGCAGTAGCTCACATCTGTAATCCCAGCAGTTTGGTAGGCCGAGCCAAGGAGATCACTTGAGGTCAGGAGTTCAAGACCAGCCTGGCCAACATGATGAAACTCAGCCTCTACTGAAAAAAACAAAACAAAAAAAATTAATCGGGAATGGTGGTGCCTGCGTGTAGTCCCAGCTAGTCGGGAGGCTGAGGCAGGAGAATCGCTTGAACCTGGGAGGTAGAGGTTGCAGTGAGCCATGATGGGGCCACTGCACTCATGCCTGGGCAACAAGAGTGAAACTTAGTCTCAAAAAAAAAAAAAAAAAAAAAAGGCCAGCGTAGTGGCTCACGCCTGTAATCTCAGCACTTTGGGAGGCCAAGGCAGGTGGATCACGATGTCAGGAGTGAGACCAGCCTGACCAACAAGGAGAAACCCCATCTCTACTAAAAATACAAAATTAGCCAGGCGTGGTGGCAGTGGGCTGAGATCGCCCCATTGCACTCCACCCTGGCAAGAGAGCGAAACTCTGTCTTGAAAAACAAAGTAAAATAAAATTAATAAATGCGTGAGAGAGAGAGAGAGTACGACACCCGCCACCCCGACTTCAAGTGCGCTGTGCTGGAGAGGTGGTCCCTGCGGCCTGGGAGGCTGGGCCAGATTCTGGCTGAATCCGGGCAACTCCGGCAGGCCGCTCAGCCACGCGGGGCAACCGTGGCTGCTGGACGGACACGTCGTGAGGATGCCTGAAATACGCTCCTAATATCAAGACAAATACACAAGAAAAACGTCCTGCAATTTAGGTCCTGGAAAATGAACGTATTCAGGAACCAGGAAAGGCGCCCTCGCTGTGGAGCGGGCAGGAGGGAGACTGGCGCCGAGGTAGGGCCCTGCCCGGCCCCGCCGCCGGCCATCCCAGGGTGTACGGACAGGGCCCAGCCCAGCCCGCCTGCTTTCCCCCCGCCCCTCTCCTCTCAAGGCCCTCAGTGAGGTTCGCGGCCTCCTTTTCCTCGTCACAGTCCCCAGACAACGCCAAGTGGTAAGATTTACCTCACTGGAGAAAGAAAAAAAAAGATACACCTCACTGGTCAAGGACAGCCTCTGTCCTGGACACCTACGATGGACAGACGCCTACCCTGCTCACACCTGAAACACACCACAATGGCCAGACCAGCTACCGGGCTCTGACAGGCTTCCCCCACAACTCCTCCTCACGCGCACCTCACCTGAAGTACCCCTTAGCCGCGACGCTTCTGAGGCAAGCTGAGATTCGCGCTGAAGAAAAGGCCGGCTCGCCTCAGCTGGACACGTCGCTGATTGGCTGGACGCAGCGCGCAGGCGTAATCTCGGGAGCCGAGGCTCCACCCCCAAGGGGCGATTGCGCGCCAAAATCGCTGGCGGGTGATGCTTTGGCCGCCATAGCCGGCTGGAGTACACTTGAGGCCTGGTGCCTTCCACTTTTAAATTTTTCAATGTTTATAATCTTGAATATTGCGGCTGGGTGCGGTGGCTCACACCTGTAATCCCAGCACTTTGGGAGGCCACCATGGGCAGATCACCTTAAGTCAGCAGTTCGAGACCAGCCTAGCCAACATGGTGAAACCCCCTCTCTACTAAAAATTCAAAAATTAGCCGCGCATGGTGTTGTCCCAGCTACCGGGGAAGCTGAGGCGTGAGAATCACTTGAATCCAGGAGGCAGAGGTTGCAAAGTAAGCAAGATCACGCCATTGCACATCTCTTGTAAAAATTTAAATATAACTGGTAATACACTGGTAACAATTCAGATATCAAAGGAGATACCGAACAAAGATTGTTGAATAAAATTTTAACAGTTTTCTCATTTATTTGGGGCACCAAAAGTTAAGAAAGAACATAATGATATTTATTTTAAAATAATAATAATAATAAAAATAGGCCTGGCACAATGGCTCACCCCTGTAATCCCAGCACTTTGGGAGGTCAAGGCAGGGAGATCACTTGAGGTCAGGAGTTCAAGACCAGCCTGACCAACAAGGTGAAACCCTGTCTCTACTGAAAAAAAAAAAAAAAAAAAATTAGGTGTGGTGGTGCGTGCCTGTGGTCCCAGCTCGTCGGGAGGCTGAGGCAGGAGAATCGCTTGAACCCGGGAGGCAGAGGTTGCTTGAGCTGAGATGACGCCACTGCACTCCAGTCTAGGCAACAAGAGTGAAACTTTGTCTCAAATTAAAAAAAGAAAAAAAAAAAAAGAAGCAGATCACCTGAGGGGACAGAGTGAGACCCCGTGTCAAAAATAGAGAAAACTGCAGAATAGTATGTAAATTATGAAACATCACGAACAAACCACCTAATTTATGAAGTAAAGCTTTACCAATGTTCACTGAATCTCCTCAGGCAGGCCCTTCCATCTGATCCCCACCTGGTCCCTCACCCTTCCCCATTCAGGAATATAAGAAAATTAACCTAAATTTATGTAAATCATTCACCCTCCCTCATTTTCTAAGTTTTATCACCACATGAGAATGTGTCATTGAACATGGCTTAGTTTCATTCACGTTTGTCATTATAAAAAATGGTCCCATAGTCTATGTAGTATTCTGACAGTATTTTTTAACTCAATATTATGTCGCTGAGGGAATCTGTATTATTACATGCAATAATGTTCATTTTCACTACTGTGTTCATACTCCATAGTGACACTGTTCCAGTTTATTCATTGATTTTCTTGTCTTGGATATCTTGGGTATTTCCAGAAAAAGGCTTATATGAACAATGTTACTGTGAATATTCAAATCTCTTGTATATGTGCTGGAGTTTCTACAGAGCACAGTATCTAGGAGTGAAATTGCTAGGCGATTTTCAGTTAAACCAAATAATTGTTTTACAATTATACTCCCACCCACTGAATGAGTTCCCTTTGTTACATATATTCTTCTTCGCTCAGTGTAGTCAGATTTTATAGTTTTGCCATTCTAGTGGGTATAAAATGATATTTCTTTTGGGTCTTTTATATTCATTCCTCCCGTCACTCTTAAGACTGATCTCTTTTAATCCTTATTGGCCATGTGCATTTCCTTTTCCTTAAAATATCTATTTGGGTTTCTTCCCTGTTTTTCAGTTGAGTGTTACATGTTTCTTTTTCTTGTTTTCGTTTTTTTTTTTTTTTTTTTTTTTGAGAAGGAGTCTTGCTCTGTCACCCAAGATGGAATACAGTGGTGTGATCTCAGCTCACTGCAACCTCTGCCTCCCAGGTTCAAGCAATTCTCCTGCCTCAGCCTCCTGAGTAGCTGGGATGACAGACGCCACCCCAACCCCCGCCCACCCACCCCACAATGCCCAGCTAATTTTTTTATGGCTAATTAAATATTTTTATTCTTAGTAGAGACGGGGTTTCACCATGTAGGCTTAGGCTGGTCTTGAACTTCTGACCTCAAGTGATCCTCCCACCTCGGCCTCCCAAAGTGCTGGGATTAAGGCATGAGCCACTGTGCCCAGCACAAGTTTCTTATTCTTTTGCAGGCCTTTATATATGCGGGGTATTAATATTTATGCTTTGTTTTTCTGTGTCTTTTCAAAGAAATGTATCTTTACTCTGAAGTCATAAAAATATTCCCCTATAGTTTCTGTAGACGTTTTAAGGTTTTATTTTTCATTTTTAAGACTTCATTCCTCTAAAATTGATTTTTGTGCATGGTGTCAGATGGGATCCAATTACTTTTTGCCCCATGTGGAAACCAACTGTTGCATGATCATTTATTGAAAAGTGTGTGCTCTCCCTAGATCACCTATGTCATAGGTCAAGTTTTCATATGTTCTTAAGTTGGCTTCCTAGCCTGTTCCACTAGTTAGTTTGCCTACCCCTGTGCAACAACCAGTTTTCATCATTCCAGCTTTATTAAATGTTTGATATCTAATAGGACAAGTATCAGACCTTATTTTTTCTTCATAAGTATCCTGTATATTCTTGAACTTTTGCTTTTTAAGTAATTTTAGAATCACTCTTCCAACATCCATTAAAAGAAACTTGCTACATTTATATTGGAATTTCATAGAATCTATAAATCAATTTAAAGAGAACTAAGTCTTCCTATTCTTGAATATAGTATATTTTTAATTTATTTAATATCATTCAATGAATCTTTATCTATGTAAGTTTTACACATTTTATTAGATATTTATAAATAACATATTTTGTTGCTATTTCTAATTGCCACCGGTATGTAAAAATGTAATTGCTTTCTGATATTCTTGTATTTAGCAGCTTGTTATACTCATTACTCCTAATAATATAGTAGAATATGGGATTCAATAATCATATCATCTGTGAATAATGACATTTTGTTTTTTCCTTTTCACTCCTTAGTTTTTTTTCCTTTTCTGACTGCACTGGCTGGGATCTTAGTACAAAGATGAATAGAGGCACTGATACAGACATTCTTGTCTTCTTCCCTATCTTAAAGGGCATGCTTCTAAAGTTTCTATTAATAACAACGATACTGTATATAGCTTTTTGGTAGCTGCCCTTTTTGAAAATTTATCTTAGATTCTAAACTCTTAGTTTGCCAAGTCTTGTTTATTCCTTTCTGGTTTTTGTCTTGTTTTAAATCATGAACGAGTGTTGCAATGACTAAAGTCTTTTTTATTGTTGTACTCCAGCGAGTCAAGGAATGCGCCCCGCTCTGAGATTGAATTATGAGTCCTTTATTATGCCGGCGATGGAGAGGTGGCTAATGGCCAAAATTCTCTTGGCCCCTAAGAAAAAGTTAGGTGGCCTTTTATACCCTAGTTTTAAAAGGGAGGAGGAACCTATCTGAAGCAAATTTTTCACAAAAGCAGAGTAAGCAAAAAGTTAAAAGATAAACTAGTACATGAGAAATAAAACAGTGCCAAGTGCAAGGGGTAAAGCTGTCATGAAAGATAGACAACTTATAGATAATGGGGGCTCTGGGCACTCGACAGCACCTGCATTCCCAGGCACTGCTGGGACCACTTAACTCGGCCTCTTATCAACAAATGCATTCCTGGAGGTGCCCAGTGTCAGCCTGCCCCAGCTACATACTATAGTTACATCTTTAATGGTGGGAAAATAACTAAAATCAAGAAGCTAAGATGGAGTCTGTCCTGCTCAAGAAGCTAACGTAAAGCTTGAACAGCTTTTAGTCTGAGAAAGAGAGTGTTTTAGCTGGCAAAAAGCAGGTTATCACACTATAGCTTTTGAAATAATCATATGGATTTTTTCCTTTGTTAAAGTGGTAAATAAGATTTGCATATTTTTTTTTGAGACGCAGTTTCACTCTTGTTACCCAGGCTGGAGTGCAATGGCGCAATCTCGGCTCACCGCAACCTTCGCCTCTGGGTTCAGGCAATTCTCTTGCCTCAGCCTCCTGAGTAGCTGGGATTACAGGCATGTGCCACCATGCCCAGCTAATTTTTTGTATTTTTAATAGAGACGGGGTTTCACCATGTTAACCAGGATGGTCTCGATTTCTTGACCTCGGGATCCACCTGCCTTGGCCTCCTAAAGTGCTGGGATTACAGGCGTGAGCCACCGCGCCCGGCCATGATTTGCATATTTTTTCTAATGCTAAACCGAAATTTTATTCCTATGATTAAACCTGAGTTGATCATGATGTGTTAAGTCTTTAAGCACATGGTTTTTTTAGCATTTTGTGTGGATTTTCATGACTGAGACTGACTTGTTATCGTCCTTTATCTTACTGTCTTTACCTAGTACCTAGTTTGGAATTAAGGTTATGCACACGACTTGCCCCCTTCTCCTTCAAGTCTTTGTGCAAATGCCACTATTCATCTCAATGCAGCTTTCTCCACCCCATTTTTAGATATTGTAATTGGAAAGTCTGCACCTTATTTCTTCCCTTTCCTTACTCCCCTTCCCCATATACATTTCTCCTGTCTTCCTCTGTGCCTTCCCCTGTTACTATGCCTCAAGAGAAAATTACTTAGTAGGGCAAATTTGTACCACTTTAAATTTATGAGTTCAGTCTCAAATGGGCCCTTAACATTGCTCCAATTCTCCCATTTCCCTCTGGCCAAGTCTTTCTTAATTACCATTTTAAGCCTTTTCTACTCTACTCATCCTTCAACACTGTTACCTCCCTTCTCAACTCCCCCTTCGCACTCAGTAGTTGACCCTTTTTCTATTTATTTTTCTTAGGATGTAGTTCAGACATAAAACCCCAAAACTTCTGCCATGAAACCTATGACCTGGCCAGGTGCGGTGGCTCATGCCTATAATCCCAGCACTTTGAGAGGCTGAGGCAGGTGGATCACCTGAGGTCAAGAGTTCGAGACCAACCTCGCCAACACGGAGAAACCCTGTCTCTACTAAAAATAAAAATTAGCCTGGATTGGTGGTGCATGCATGTAATGCCAGTTACTTGGGAGGCTGAGGCAGGTAAATCACTTGAACCTGGGAGGTGGAGGTTGCAGTGAGCCGAGATCACGCCATTGCACCCCAGCCTGGGCAAGAAGAGCGAAACTCTGTCTCAAAAAAATGAAAGGAAAGAAGGAAAAGAAGGAAAGGAACGGAAGGAAGGAAGGAAGGAAGGAAGGAAGGAAGGAAGGAAAGAAGGAAGGAAGGAAGGTAGGAAGGAAGGCCTGCATTTGTGTCTGTCCTTCCCCCTGTTAGACTAGGGGAGATGTCCCTCCTGTGTTCTCAGTTCCATGGCCTCTTGTCTTCCAGGAATCTTAACTACCCATACTTCTCTGTCTTTTATCTTTAGCCTCTCTTTCTCTGCTCCATCTCTCCCATTCACATTTACAAATACTCAAATCTCTCACAACTAAAAAAAAAGAAAAGAAAACCTGGGCCTTATTTCCAAAACAACTACTCTTCCCCTATCTCTTCTTGCAACCAGAGTTCTAAGAATTATCTTAAGACTGTTGCCTCAATTTCTTCACCTCCCATGTACTCTTCTTTTGTTGTTGAGACGAAGTCTCACTCTGCTGCCCAGCTGGACTGCAATGATGCAATATCAGCTCACTGCAACCTCTACCTCCTAGGTTCAAGCGATTATCCTGCCTCAGCTACCTGTAGCTGGGATTACAGGCGTGTGCCACCATGCCCAGCTAATTTTTGTCTTGAACTCCTGACCTCAAGTGATCCGCCCACCTGAACCTCCCAAAATGCTATGATTACAGTTTGGTTTGGTGTGAGCCACCAGCATTTGTGAGCCACCACACCAAACTCCATGTATTCTTTAAGCCACTCTAAACCAACTTTGGCCCTCACCACTCAACCAAAATGGTTCTTGCTCTAAAGTCACCAGCGATCCCATGTTGTTAAATAAAATGGACATTCTCTGGTCATCTCACTTGACTCTTAGCAGCAGTTAGCACTCTGGTTTACCACTCTGGTTTTTCTCCCTCCTTTCTGTCTTCCTTTGGTTTGCACAGTTTACACAGTCTCCTGTTATCATTCTAGCAACTTCTCAGATCTTTGGAAACTAGATCTAGCAACTTCTCAGATCTTCTCATATGAAGAAGTCTTACTTGCTGGAGTTGCCCAAAGTTTGGTTTTAGTCAGTTTTCTCAACTGATACTCTTTCTCCCAGTATTCTCATATATGTACATAGCTTCAAATGTCAGTTTCTCAACGTGCAGCTTTCATAGACCAGCCAGTATCGGGATTACCTGACACAGTAGGGAGGGGTGGAAGGTATTAGAATGCAGATTCCCAGGCTTCTACCAAGTTAACTCTATGCGGGGTTATCTGGGAAATCTGCATTTTAAAGAATGCAACGTGGCTGACGGACTATGAGGCCAAGAATGAGGCCGGCAAGAGAGGACACGCAGGATTCCAATTGGGACCAATTTATGCACCATTATTGCACAGGAATAAATGAAGGGTTGCTCATGTTTTGTTTGAAATTCTTTTGCAGTAGACTGCCCATGTTTTTGTTTTGTGATATCTGAGTGAGGTTTTAGTGTTGGGATTGTGTTGCAAGGGATGAGTTGGATGATACCGTATTCTCCTTTTTTACGCTCTCTGGAAGAATTTGTGTGGGATTGGTGCTGTTTCTTCCTTAGATGTTTTGACCTGAGTAGTGATTACATGTAGTTTAAATCCTTGATCTGTAAGTTATTATTTGCATATACTTTTTGGCATATGGAGAAAGACTTTTTAAAATCAAAACTTTTTTCAGGAGCAGTGGCTCACACCTGTAATCCCAGCACCATGCAAGGCCAAGGCAGTATTGGTTGAGCCCAGGAGTTCAAGATAGCCTGAATAACATAGTGAGACCTTGTCTCTACAAAAAAAAAAAAAACTTGAGCACACCTGTAGTCACAGCTGCTCAGGAGGCTAGGTGAGAGGACTGTTTGAGCCTGGGAGGTGGAGGCTGCAGTGAGCGGAGACCACACCACTGCTCTCCAGGCCTGGCCCAGCAAAGTGAGATCCTGTCTCAAAAGAAACAAACAAAAACAAAAAAGCACTTTCGAAGACATAAGGCAGATTAAAAATCCTCTTTTTAATTAGAAAACGGTGTCACTTTCTTAGCTAAGAGCAATGTAATCATTTCACCCTAATGACTAGACTAGGAGCCTTACCTCAGGCCTGGACAATAATCTTTTACCCAAACTTTCATTACCATCACCACTGATATTTAGCAGGCAGGACTATTTGCCAGGCACTGGACTGGGTGTGTTGCACATGTCATTTCCTTTGATTATCACCATAAGCTTCTGTATAAGCTACTAGTATTGCCTCTCACACTTCAGCAGAGAAAGCTAAATCACAGCAAGCGGTGTCCGGGATCCAGTACTTGAAACTCCCGTAGTCTGACTGCAGTGTGTGCTCTTCACCCACATGTGCCACAGTCCTGGGGAGGCAACATGGGTTGGTGGGGACAGGAAAGAGGGACAACCTGGGGTTCCCACTGTACCTCTGCCTCTAACTGGTTCTAACACCTTGAGCAAGTCATGTAATCCCCCTGTCCTTGGTGTCCTTGCCGATAAAAAGCAAGGTTTGGTCCAGATAGTTGTTTTGAAACTCTGCCTGAAGTGGCTAGGAACTTGAGGTAACACCTTGAGAATCGGGCAGAAGGAGCGGCTTTCCTTCTTCTGTATCACAGAATGCTGTGGTTAATGTTTTTATCATCCAAAATTTACGTTGAAACTTAATTAGCAATTTAAAAGTATTATGAGATGGGGCTTTCAGAGGGTGATTAAGTCATGGGAACAGAGCCCTCATGAATTCAATTAGATGCCTTTATTAAAGGGCTTGACAGAGGCAGCTTGTGCCTTCTTGCCCTTCTGCTCTGTGGGGACATGGCATTCAAGAAGCCATCTTAGAAGCAGGAAGCAGCCCTCACCAGACAACCAAACCTGCTAGCCCTTTGATCTTGGACTCTCAGCCTCCAGAACTATAAGAAAACTAATTTCTGTTCTTTATAAATTACTCAGTCTGAGGTATTTTGTTACGGCAGCACAAAAAGACTAAAACACATAGTAACCTTCTATAGGATTTCATTCGAACTAATGATTCTGAATATCTGACTGCTCATCAACTTCTAAGGTTCCTCTATGCTAATGATTCTACTGAATCACAGAATCAGAATGAGTCTGACTGGCCTCCTATTGTATTGTCCATCCCATTATCAAGCTCCTAATTAGGTATGGACTATATTCATCTAACCACAGAAATAGTCATTATAGCCAAATGTTCATTTCTCTAACTTTTCTAGAGTAAATTCTCAGCTTTTATAATGATACCCAGATATCCTCCCAAATTTTTACCACATGATAAATTCCATTTAGAAACTATTTTCCCCCATAAAGCAAAATTCTTCTGTATAATACTAGTCTTTCCTTACTTTCTACTTAATTTTAGTAATGTTTAGCATAGAAGGTGATATACAGTAAAGGTACTCAAGTGACTGCTGTATCTGGGTAACAGTAAACTCAATCCTCAAAGATTTAAAAATCGAAGTGTCAGACAAAAATTTAACGTTTTATGAGATTTCAGTTTTTGAAATACACAACTCTTACAGCACAAACACATTATTTACATTTCAAGTTCTTTGTACAAAAAATGTATGCCATTTTAAAAGAATACTATTGAGAACATGATCTAAAATACCTGTTAGAGTTCAAAAGAAGCTCTTGGAATCTGGTCTCCGCAAATCCATTGTATTGTGACATAAATAAAATATGGCTAGACATCAAGGTTCAACCATACATAAAAATGCTAATTCTCAGCTGGGTGCAGTGGCTCATGCCTGTAACCCCAGCACTTTGGGAGGCAGAGGTGGGTGGACCACCTGAAGTCAGGAGTTCGAGACCAGCCTGACCAATATGGTGAAACCCCGTCTCTACTAAAAATACAAAAATTAGCTGGGTGTAGTGGCGTGCATCTGTAGTCCCAGCTACTTGGGAGGCTGAGACAGGAGAACTGCTTGAACCCAGGAGGCAGAGGTTTCAGTGAGCTGAGATTACACCACTGTACTCTAGCCTGAGTGACAGAGCGAGAATCCATCTCAAAAAAACAAAACAGAACAAAAAATTAATTCTCAGTGATTGGCAAATGATGGCCTGAGGGTCAAATCTGGCTGGTGGCCTGTTTTTCTACAGCTGCAAGCTAAACATTGTTTTTACATTTTTAGAGGGCTATTTGAAAAAAGCAAACTAAACAACAAAGAAGAATATATGACAAAGACATAGGTGGCCTGCAATAATTTACTATCCGGCCTTATACAGAGAAGTTTACTGGCCTCTGCTGTATCCAAAACCAGCTAAGAGAGACAGCTACTAGAATATACCGATGAGTATCAAACAAGACACCACTGTACTGTGCCAGTGCCATCAGCACTACTCATTTCTAAAATGAGGCACTTCTGTTTGAATATTACATTTCCAAAACATAATTTCATCTGGTAAGTAGCACTGTTACTTAACTCTAGCCCTCTGAAATTAAACCTGCACATGAAATCATAGTATTTGTAGAGGCTGAAGTCTGTAGAATTTCTTATGTCAATCACTGAGCTCTTCAGTAGTTATTAGTGGTTTAAGACCATTTACAGTCTTAAACATTAATAAAACTCATAATTTAGGTATTGTCAGTGAGATGATATTGCTGCATTATTTAAATAACATCTATAAAAATAGGTTTAGACATCCCAATTCATTATATTCAGAAGCAAGAATAACTAGTTAACTTAGTAACTACTTATTTTAAAAATAGGAAATGAAAAAAAAAATGTGCAAAACTTTAGCAAAAGGCTTTGGAATGCAAAGACTGGGACCTCTTCACAATCATTCCCAGCTGGCACAGGCCTCTTGTATTAGTCTGCAATGATTGCTGTGGGAAATTAGCAGCTGTCTCTTGTCAGTGAGCCTTTTTATAAAAAGGATGACAGGTCCATGAGCAAATTCTTTAAAAGTAAAACCAGTTAAGAGCTGCTCAACACACAAGTTTTCAGTGGGTTGGTTAAATAATTCCTGGTCAGTGGGCTATATTCATGCCACAAAACAGCATGGTACTGGATGTTTTCCTTCTTCGGGCCAAGTTGCTAAGCATCACATCACAAAGATACCTCTGTGAAGCTAAGTTTTAAAATGCTCAGTAAATGCTGAGGTAGATGGTTTTCAAATGAAGATCTTCTATACTCTGATTCGATCAGGACTAGCTTCTTTGTGTATCCTCCTTCTGGGAAATATCTTGCGCTTAAGTACAATTAACTAAATGATGAAAGACAGAAAATGCATTTTAGTTCTCATGTTGATGAAAGAGTATAAGTGCATCAAACTTTCTAAGAGCCATATGACCTTAATCATTTCCACAATCTTATACATAAAAAACAGACAATAAACAAATTTCCATCATTCCTCTTCCAAAACAAAAACAAACATTATTTTCATTTAGCTTTGTAGGGTCAATACACCTAGATATGTGCCCACAAAGAGACCCAAGAAGATTAAAATTATTTTGGATCATGCAACTACAGACTTTAACACAGCTATTACCAAGGATATTTATTTTCAAGATGTTCATTTGTCAAGTCTTTCTATTGAAGGAAACTGGCTCTATTTAGCCATAAGACACTGTCTCTGGGTTTGAAAATGACTACATTTCTAAGATAGGATTAAAAATAAACCACATACCTATATTGAAAATCCTACCAGCATTTCTCCCTGCTACTTAATCACAAACATTGGAGAACACAGGCAACACCCAATTTAAAATGGATTGTAATATAAAAGTTCATTTGTAAATTAGTAGCTTAGAACTTGAATACTTTTTCTCATAAAGAGTTTAGCCATAACACATCTGAAATAGAAAACCACATCAACATTATAATAAAATTTCAATTAAAAAATGTGTAGGTTTTTTTTTTTTTCCTTTTTGAGACAGAGTCTCACTTACTCTGTTGCCCAGGCTGGAGTGCAGTGGCGAGATCTCAGCTCATCGCAACCTCCACCTCCCAGGTTCAAGCGATTCTCTTGCCTCAGCCTCCTGAGTAGCTAAGACTACAGGTGCCCATGACCATGCCTGGCTAATTTTTGTATTTTGGTAAAGATGAGGTTTTACCATGTTGGCCAGGCTGGTTTCGAATTCCTGGTCTCAAGGAATCCACCTGCCACAGCTTCCCAAAGTGCTGGGATTACAGGCATGAGCCACCATGCCCGGCCTAAAATGTGTTCTTTATGTTCTCCGTCTGGGATCTTTATGTTTACCCTATCTTACCTCTCCCCAACCATGTAGGACTGGCTTGTTCCTTCATCCTTAGGTGGAAGCAGGGCTTTGCCCAAACATAAGCCACAGTTAGAATGATGAGCTGGGACTTGGGAGGGGAGAAGGGCAGCATTGGCTGGTTTGTTTGTGAGGGTGGTAGGTATGGCAGGAGGAAGGAGTGTGACTCCAGTAGTTAGAGAGCAGGGTGCTGGGATTTAACCTGCCCTTCCCTTTCTCCTGCCTCTTAGTTCCCTATTGTCTGCTGGTATAGATGACACACAGGAAAGACTGACACTCCTCTTCCTTTCCACTACCACCAGCTGCCCCTTTCTGTCAGGGCTCTATCCCTTCCCCATCCTAAGTCAGCACAGCAGACTCATAGGTTCCTCACTAGATCTCTGTTCTAAAAGTAGGTACAGCCTTTCTGAGATTTTTTCTAAGACGTTTACCTGCCAGGAACAATGGTAAGAAACATCAAGAATAAGATGTACACTCCCTGGGAAACAGATGAAAATTAAGTTGCTGTCCTGTTCACCTGTCCAGTCTCTGTTTCCTAAATTTTCTTCCATCTGCAACAAGAAGCCCATTCATTTATCCTAAAGCTCTCAGTACTTAGTACTTTTGATTGTAAATGTGTATCATTTCCTAAAATATCGGATGTTAATATACCGAGAAATACTGTTTAATACCCACATAAAATATATAAAACTTACCTGCTCGGCAAAAAATGAGAATATAGTAAACATAATCAATGTTGCTAGTACACAGTGTGTCCAAAACTTCAATTTGTCTCGATATGCCCTCCTGTGCAGAGAGAAGAAAGCAACTATGTACTTCTGTATACGATTTCACTACCATTAGTTAAGTATTATTTATGTACTACTTGCAATTCTAAAATGCTCACACAATATACATTTTCAACGTAAGTTCAGATTTTTTATGTCATAGTAAACACTATACTTGAATTAGTAAAGTTATCCAAGGAGGGGAGAGGATTTCAAAAGAAAATTACTTCTGGCACTTAAACAAAACCACTCTTTCATTTGTATTCATTCATATTCATTTATTTTCTCAGTTACTTGATAAGTACTTCCTGTGGATACAGCGAGATGAACAAGATGAAGTCCCTGCTTTAGGTGTTTAGAAACCTGAGGCATTGCTGACATGCTGACTGATAACTTGCCATCACATAAGACAGAAACATGTATTATCAAAAGCAAAGTCTTGTGGAAAAACTTAGAGAAATCAGGACAGCACCACAGAGATAGTGGCATTTCCTGTAATAAGCATATGCTGAGAAAGGGAAGGAGCAGTAGAGTGGCACAGTGGCCAGCAGGGCCCTGCAGGACTGAGTGGAGTGAATCCATGCAGCAGCATGGGGGGAACTGAGCCAGGTGAAGATGAGAGGGTATGAACTGCAGCTGCTCTGCAAAAAACCACACTGTGGGATCTGGACAGAACACTCTAGTGGGAAAGTGGATGAAATGGTGAGGTGGGGGTGTATGTGACATAATCAGGGTAAACATGGTAGCCATTTGAAGGATGGACAAACAAGGAAGGCAGGTAGTTTAGTTTTAGTCCAGAAAAGAAGCACTGACAAAAGAAATAAGCAACCAAAGAGACATTCCTGAGGTAGAATTAACCGGACCTGGAGCCAACAGAATACTGGGGATAAAGAGAGGCGTACAGCAGTTTCCTCATCTGTAATTTGGAAATAGTGAACAATTGGTTACAAAGATTAAATAAAAATGCTTACCACAAGGTTTGGAAGATATGCTAGTAACTACCAAATTCTGGCCTCTGTGCCGAGATACAGATTCTCATTTTCCACTGTTTGGACATGGGTTTCTCTACCTCAAGTCACACATCCAAAACAGCACTCTCCCACACACAGTTCTTCCCCCTGTATTTCCCACATCTGTTAATAGGATCATACCAGCTCTGTCAATTCTAATGTCAAGTGTCATTCAGAATCAATGTGGATTCTTAAAGAGCTGAGCAGCCACAGACTACAGACACCTAATACGGTGCCCCAGCAGCCAGAGAACCCATCCACTGAGTGTCTGCTATGTACTAGGGAGGCACTGTGGACTCAGCAGTAAGATACCATCTGTGCCCTAGAAGAGGGCTCACAGTCTACCAGGAGAGACAAACACAACCAGAGAGATGGTTGTATAGTGCTATATCCCAAAAGGAATGGGCTTCTCTGAGAACAGGAATAAAGTCAATGCAGAAAACCAGGGAACATGAACTCATGGAAGAAAAGAGAAACGAGTTTCTAGGAAGCAGGGCCAGCAGTGAGAGACGACACACAGAACTGAGCAGAATGAGGAGCGAGCAGCCCACAGGGCAGGGGAATGACTGCAAGAGCACCCATATCTGATTCATACCATTTGTACAGCACAGAAACCAAGGACCTTTCAAATAACTCTTAAGCCTACTCCTTTCTTATTCAAATGGACCCTTGGACGTAAATTTAGTCACAAACTGGATTTGGGGAGTTAACACTTAGAACCACCTAAAGATCTTTTTCCTCTGAGCTAAGGGAAAGTGAAAACGGTGAGAAGTCATTCCTTGCCACTTCTGGGAGACAAGATCCATGATTCAGTAATAAATTCTCCTTATGCAACAAAAACATAAAGATAGCAGCAATATACATTCTAATTGTCTCATTTGCCCAACTCCAAGACACCAAGGAGTTCTAGTGCCAGGGTCTACCAATTTCCCCTCTAAAGTGTCTCCTAATTTATCCTCTACTGCTTTCTCTCTATTACCTGGGCAGTATCCTTGGTTTTCACCTGACTGACTGTTTTTAGGACTATTGAAATGCTTATTATTTGTCTCTCTGCCTCCAGTTCCCAGACAACCCTGCCCCACTCTAAATAACTTCTTTACTACTCCAACCTCCACACTAGTATTAGTTATCTCAAATCATGAAGTCTGATCATGACAAACATCTAAAAAAAAATCTGTCCTGGGGGTCCATTATCAAAAGAAAATAGTCTAATCCAAAAACAGCCTTTCACAAGCTCTCTTTTTCCTCATCACAGGATTGTCTTATACCTCTGTGCCTTTGCACATGCCATTTCTTCTACCAGGAATCTCTTTCTTACCTGGAAAAGTAATTTTCATAATTCAAAACCAAGTCCAAATGTCACCTTCCCCTAAGAGAATCTGCTGGTCCCTCCTCTGTACACCAACTGCATTGAACTCTTACTGCTGTCCTCAATATACTGTATCACTATTTGCCTGGTATCTGTCTCTCTGGATAGACTGTGAGCATCTCAAAGCCTGGTTACACATGCCTTTCATCTTCATATTCCTAGCACCTGGCACAGAGAGGCAAGGAAAAGGTCAAAAATCTTCCTAAACCGGAAGATAAAATTATCTTTATAATTAAATGTTGGCAATGGCAGTAGAATGAAAGCTGAAGAAAAGTTATAAAGCAGCTTTGGAATATAGTGGAATGTGCAGAGGGTTGGCAGTCAGGCTGGATCGGCCACTTGCCAGCTACTTCAGCTGGAGCAAGTTACTCAACTCATATTACTGTGTTCTCATCTGTACCACGGCAATAATGATACATTTAATTATAGAGGGTAAATATCTTGCCCAGCACAGTGTCTGGCATACAACAGGTTCTCAGGAAAAAGGGTGGCTACTCTGATGGCAGTGATGATGATGAAGAAGACTTAGCAGGTGTTGCAGGCCAGAACCAGGGGAATGGACTGCCCAGGTTCCTATGTGGACTTCCACATTCAGGAGCTGAGATGCCTTGTGCAAGTTACTTCCTGTTGCTGTGCTAGGATAAAATGAACCTACTACAGAGTTGTTAGAAGAGTTAAATAAGAATATGCATGAAAAGCTCTTAGTCAAGTACCATGTTACAGTTAAGTTAAAAAAACAAAGGCCTTAGGTACTTGTTACTTAAACACTCAATATTGCTAGTTATTATTCCCACAGTAGATACTCAATAAATTAGCTGATTTAACAAATATAAGAATGAAAATTAGGGCCAGGCGTGGTGGCTCACACCTGTAATCCCAGCACTTTGGGAGGCCAAGGCAGGAGGATTGCTTGAGCCAAGGAGTTCGAGTCCAGCCTGGCCAACATGGTGAAACCCTGTTTCTACTAAAAATAACAAAAATTAGCTGAGTCTGGTGGCACAGGCCTGTAATCTCAGCTACTCAGGAGGCTGAGGCACGAGAATCACTTGAACCCAGGAGGTGGAGGTTGCAGTGAGCAGACATCATGCTACTGCACTCCAGCCTGGGTGACAGAGCAAGATTCTGTCTCAAAACAAAACAAAACAAACCACTTAACTCAATCCTTTACTCATTATAATGTTTCCCAGTTGTTTATAAAGGCTAACCAGATAGTCTGGTTGTTGAAGTACTGAATGAAATGGCTCCTAATACCTTTCCAGGTTTACACTCCACTATTTCAGGGTATGAATTCTCCAACTAAGCCAGGCTAGCCCCCAAATTGCCCTGATCATTCTCACCTCTAAGCTTTTGCTCACTGTTCCCTTCTTACCACTTTCAGAGATTCTGCCTTCAGGACTTAAGTTTAATTCATTTTCCCCAAAGTCTCTGACTATCAACTCAGCACGTACCGACCTCATGTACCTCTCATTTAATACTCAACGATCCCTTCACTTTCACATTTGTCAACAAACAGTTCAATAAATTAATGAAGTTCCAGTTAGACTGAAAGAATCCAGTTATACATTTTTTCAAATCTCTTAAAATGCAAATGTCTTTTTAATATTAAACTCAATAAAAATTATAACTGTATAAAGAAATTAGAGCAAACAACACGTTAAAGAAATTTCATCAAAAACATTTCATCACTAACATATAGATATATGTGCATGTATCTATACACACACATGCATATATGAAACATGAGAATTTACCATTCCTGTAGCTCATGCATATGAAGGAAACGATTTCGATACTCTCTTGGCAGCTCAAACTGGGAAGGTATGGGGAACATGGATTCATAGAAGTCCCTGAGAACAGCCTTCACTGTCTGGGCATCTTTATGATTGTGGTCAATATTGTCATTTAGGCAAACAAACTTCCTGAAATAACAGAGAGCCAGGGTTATTGGTTACATATGGATAATCCTGACCTAACAAAACAAGGAATGTGAATTCCAAATTTATTTTAAATGAACTTATGTTCTAAGTTGGTACATTTGCTAATATGAATCTCTAGGGGAATTATGCTCTATAAAATTCTTCTTTAGATATTCCCCACCTATAAACAAGAGAACTAGGGTAGATGGCCTTTTAGCTATGGTATTAAATTAATTTAGTGACTTCCATTTACAGTATCCTGACTTAATTGTTCAATAAATGTAGTTAACTGACTAGAATATTTTGTTAGCAGCTAGAAAAGACAATCAGTGGCCAGGCACCATTGCTCATGCCTGTAATTCCAGCACTTTGGTAGGCAGAGGCAGGCAGATCACCTGAGGTCAGGAGTTTGAGACCAATGTGACCAAAGGCGAAACCCCATCTCTATTACAAATACAAAAATTAGCCGGAACTGTAGGGTGCACCTATAGTTCCAGCTATTTGGGAAGCTGAGGCAGGAGAATCGCTTGAACCCAGGAGGCAGAGGCTGCAGTGAGGGGGGAAAAAAAAAGACTAAGAAGTACCTAAAACCAAGTTCTCTGAAGGCCATGCGTGGTGGCTCATGCCTGTAATCCCAGCACTTTGGGATATCAAAGCAGGCTGATCACTTGAGGTCAGGAATTCGAGACCAGTCTGGCCAACATGGCGAAACCCTATCTCTACTAAAAATACAAAAATTAGCCGGGCATGGTTGCACACGCCTGTAATCCCAGCTACTCGGGAGGCTGAGGCACGAGAATTGCTTGAACTTGGGAGGCACAGGCTGCAATGAGCTGAGATTGTACTACTGCACTCCAGCCTGGGTAATAGAGTGAGACTCTGTCTCAAAAAAAATTAAAAAATAAAAACCAAGTTCTCTGAACTGATAGCTATATTACAAAGAAAAATCATGTAAATAATTGGGAGAGAGAGAGAGTGCCGTATAGCTAAAGATTCTATGAATTTGATAATTTCTGCATGTCTCTAACCAACCTGTAAGATGCTAGAGACTGGCAAAAAAGCAGATTACAGTGGTGCTTCCTTGCTTGTTTCAAGTTCCTTTCAAGGCAAAGGTCATTAAACTGAAGGCCCATTAAAATGGCTTGTAGGGATACCAACACTTTTGAAGTAGATTTGCCAAAATTAAAAAAAAAAAAATTAAACAAACCTGATAAAGTCTTCAGATCCAACTACTAATTTATGGGAAATACAAGAGACATAGAAATATGTTAAATAACTAGGATTCAATCTGAGAAGGACAAAGTGTAAAATAGCTATAGAATCTATAATCAGATTTCTTCATATACGCATGCAAAAAATTATATGGGTAAAAAAAGAGAGATGGGGGGAAAACCCATAGATTTAACTTCAAACCAACAAACTTAAAAACCAAAAAAACACCTAAGTCTTTATGAAAGTTAAGAGGAGTGGAAGGTGTACGTTGACAAAGTAGTTGATCATATTAAAGAATCATTATTGATTTTTTAGGGTGATAATGGTATTGTGTTTATATTTTTAAGAATCCTTATATTTTAGGAATACATACAACAATGTAGAGCTAAAATGATACAATGTTTGAGATTCACTTAAAATTAATCAGGAAGCAGTGATGGAGTAGGTGTGTTTACATAAAACAAGGTCAAATATAAAAGGAAGTAAACAAATATAAAATGGAAGTAAATATGTAAGAAAGAAGACAAGTGATGGGTATGTGAAAGCTCATTCATCTTTCTATAAACCTGGAGACTGCTTTAAATTAAAGGATACTAAAGAGCTATGTTACCTAACATAACACATGAGTCTTGACTGTATCTTGGATTAAAAACAAAAGAGGCAGACAACAGCTATCAAGAGCATCTAGAGGCAACTAGGGAAATCTGAAGACAGGTTATTAGATGGTGTTATTTAATCATTGTTAAAGTTCTTGAATGTGTTATTAATGGTCTGTGATCTGACAATGAAGCTACCACAAGCAGAGCTAAGAAAGTCAGAGAAAAACAAAGCCTGGATATTGTCTATCCCGGACTCCCTATTAACGGGATGAATATGTCCTTAAAACTTAAGTCAGTTTGAAGTCTAGTTTTCCATGCATGACTTAAATGAGACTTCATCAAAGTAAAACAAACAAGGGTTAATGATAAAATCTGTTCAGGTACACAAAGAGGCAGCTGGGCTGGGCACACTATGAAAAAAGCCTGGCTTGCCATGAGTCTTTTTACTAAACCCCTGTCCTTTTAAGTACCATGAAAATGTCTATGAATACTCTAACCCAATAACTTTCAAACTGGCACAAAAATATAAAAGTATAGGCTACAACTAAAAACTGCAAATTCTCACATTATTACTACTCATGACTGAGAGAGCTCATCAAGAGAATGGGAAGAATGCCGTACTACCATCAAAATTGGTTCTTAAAAGCTGAAGTTATTTTTAAAAATTAAACAGTACACTTCAAGTGGAGGGAACAGTATATGCAAAGAAGGCTGTACACTGGGTAATTATTATTGCAGCTTATGGTTTGCTTGGCTTGTGGGAAACATTTTGTAAAAAATCAAGTATTTTACTGGATTTGAAGACACTAGGTAAGCGTTAAAGATATTTTTATTTTTCCCAAAATTCCAATTCCTTTCTCCTCCAAACAACAACAGGATTTGCAGAAAAAATACAATGGCTTTAAAATGTCTATAAGGTTCACATCTCTGATCATGTATAATTTTAAAATCCTAACTTCAGTGAGGTAAAACTAAAGACCTCCAAATGCACTTAAAAAACTCAGAAATCAAAAATACTCAATTTTAGCTGAGTGCAGCAGCTCATGCCTGTGGTTCCAGAGGCTGAGGTGGGAAGAATGCTTGATCCCAGGAGGTCCAGGCTACAGAGTCGTGTTTGCATCACTGCACTCCAGCTTGGCCAACAGAGTGAGATCCTGTCTCAAAAAAATCTAGTTTATATGCCAGTGTCTTTATTATCCAAAGAAGTTGATGAAACACCTATTTCCCACTAAAGTTAAAAACTAAAAAATGCATACTTTTAGCACATTTTATCAAACCTGCTAAAGTTAAGGAGCTGGTAAAGAAACTGTTAAGGCTTAGGTAAACCTGAAAATTTATTCATCCCCCAAAATGGCTGGGGCATACTGGATTAATGTTCACATTAATGGTAGCATTCCTTTTTCCTCAAAAGCTAATCTGAACTTTACTTTGAATTGCCAAGATAAATCTAACCATCTAAACAACTGTTCTGGAAGCACCTTTTTAGAAATGCCATAATTCTAAAAAAGCCTTTCTAGAATGTCTCAGCTGCCTGGCCTCACCTCCTCACAATACAATCTGACCCTGGGTCTCCCTGAACAGCTTGTTATTAATAGAACTCAGTTCTTAGAAGTCCAGGCTCTTCCCTCTGCATAAGGGACCCTACGTCAACTTGCAACTCCTATCTCTCAGTCAACCCCAACTCCAACACTACCTCTACTGTTAAGCCTTTCTGTCTGTTCCATACAGAAATAAGCTACTCTCTTCTCTCCAGTCCCACTGCCTTTTATTCAGGTTTATTTGCATAATTAAAAATTATATATATAAATCAGTACCTAGGGTTTTTTCTTATGTCATCCAACTGGCCAACCACATGAGAAACATTGGTACGAATCATTTTAAAAGCGATTTCTTCTTCTCCCATGATTTCAAACCTAATTATAAAAACATATTTGAAGAGTGTAAAAATGAAGTTTCAATATAAAAGACATTTTTTAAAATTTCAGTGGACTCAACAACCATAGAATAACTTAAACTTTTAATACTAACATAGCAAACAATCTCACATAAATTTTAGAAGAATGCTTAATAGACAAATACTGTAGAATTATGAAAAAGCCAAACCTTTGTAATTACTCTTATACTAAACAAAGGGGATATGTGTGGACTACTTACCTATATTTGTTTTTGTCCTTATATGCTTTGTGGATTTTGTCAGTTACTGGTTTACAATTTGTTACTAGACTTTTAGTGACCGGTGGCTATGAGAAAATACAAGTAGATCAGATATCACATCAGAGCTGAAACTAGAGCAATTTAGCCTATATAATCTAAATTCTGATTTTTAAAACTTTGATTCTATTCTCTCTAGAGGTAAGAAAAATACCAACTGTGATTACATATATATCTTTTTCATCTTTAAGAACATACTGGCAAACAGTTACTACCATTTATATATAGAGAGTTTATAATGCATTTTTCACAAACCTGAAGTACTTTATCCTACTGGATCATGCCAAAAACCCAAAAGAAACTGCTGAAGTACACAAACGAGCAGCTAGCTCTTCTGTTACCAGCTCTATGTGAGGGCTTCTGGTGAATTCCCTACCTGTAACACCTCTTTTTTTTTAAGCGGGGGGGGGGGGGGGGAGATGGAGTCTCGCTCTGTCACCCAGGCAGGAGTGCAGTGGCATGATCTCAGCTAACTGCAACCTCCACCACTCAGGTTCAAGTGATTCTCTTACCTCAGCCTCCCAAGTAGCTGGAATTACAGGTGCCCAACACCGCACCTGACTCATTTTTGTATTTTTAATAGAGATGGGGTTTCACCATGTAGCCAAGCTGGTCTTTTTTAGTATAGATGGGATTTTGCTATGTTGGCCAGGTTGGTCTTAAACTTCTCCCCTCAAGTGATCCACCTGCCTCGGCCGCCCAAAGTATTGGGATTATAGGCATGTGCCACCATACCCAGCCCTAGCCTCATTCTCGACCTGCTGCTTCCTATCTGCTAACCCCACTAGAGCAAGTTCCTTTAGGACTGACAGATCTTACTCCTCTATTTACCTCAACTTTATCAATTTGGTAGTAAGTCTTAGCACATTCAGAGAATTGAATTTTAAGTGGCACATATCTATATTCTAACCCATGCCATATGCTAAACTAACCTACACGTAATTGGCAATACTGATACTGTGTGCTCTGATGGCAACTATGCTGACTTCTTTAACCAATGGCTGCCACTTGTCATACTGTGTCTCCTGATGAGGGAGACTTCACTGGGCTCTCTGGGAACATGAGTGAGGAACACAGTCCCTGACATGCACAATGAATGATAAATGAGTGGTTTTCTTCCTTCAGAAATCAGGAATCAGATTTTTAAGTGATTTTATAACTCTTCAATACAGTCATTTACAAGTGTCTTATCTGCAGTCATCATTGACATATGGCTTGAAAATTAGCAAGATAGTAATTTTTTTAAAATACCATTTTATTCTGATTATGAAAGCAAAATCTACTCATTATAGAAAATATGAAAAATTCTAGTGTACGAAAAGGATATAAAAAACTACCTGTGATTTAACCTACTGTCATGTCTGTTGTCTTTTGGGTTATGTGTGTTATATGTGTACTTGGGAGGTTTTTACAGTTCAACATGTACTGTCTATATGGTAGTACCCATTATTTTCCCCATCTAATTTTATTATGTAAAAATTTTTCCATTGATCAGTAAAAAATTACAGAAAATATCCAGTTAAAGGCTGTATTATATTAATTTCATCAGTTCTACAATTTTCTTCACATTTTAACTTCTCTGAAGCTGAAGTAGCTCTTACAATCTACAGTCTTCTAATTACTCAGCCAAATGACATTCCAACATAGCTGTGTGTAAATCACCCACTGCCCCTGCTGGTAAAATGGAGTAAGTGCCAGCATTAAAGCAATTCAGCTTTGATGAAGGATGACATTACATGTGATGAACAGTTCTTTGATTGATGTTAAGCCTCAGGATTGTTCTCTCTGGCCAATGAGAATACTCTGAAGCTATTTTCTGTCATCCTTAGTGAACAGTACATCTGCTTATGGAATGAATATAAGCAACAAATCTAAATTACACATCTATGAGGTGAACAGTAAGATTGCAAATCAAGCTATGAATGATTCCGGAGTACCTGTGCTACTATTTTGCAACAAAGACATATAAACATAGAGCATGCTTCTAGTTCTGAAGTGCTATACAGAAATGCTGTAACATTTGATAAGGATGTACTTTCTACCGTACATAAAAGTAACCCATTCCACTTACCAGATTGGGATCATAATATGCTTCCTGAGTTGGTGGAATATTATTTAGCTGAGTAATATCAGCAGGAAGCATTTTTGAGCAATTTATTAGCATGTGTTCCAGACCTGTCAAATCCTAACAAAGAAAAAAAAAGATAAACTTGTTATGTGTATTGTAAGTAAGGACTGTGGTTTTAAAAATAAAAATTATGTGAAAGCCTCCAAAAATGGCTTAAATGCTATCTTCAAAGAGAGTCTAACTACATGATTCTGAAGATAAAGGCACTCTAAAAAGAGTGGAATGAGACAATGCCAACACAAATATTTCATCTTCATCTCAAAGAACATTCTGGCCTCTGAGATCCCCATTTAAATAAGGTGGTCCAGAGCTTAGGAGAAACCATGCCCTGCAGCCAGATTCATCTGGGCACCTTCCATTAGTGAGTTTCCTACTCCTGGGACTAGAGGATGCCATAAAGAAGGGGCCTGGCTGAGATCTCCTTTTAGCCACGCCTGAAGTCCTAGAATGAATGTATCACAAGAATCTCATATGCAGGCATGGTCTGGCTCTTCTCCAGACAACACAAGATCAATCCTTACTGAAAACCTACAAAAAGTAATCTCATAAAATATAAACCTCAAATTTGGTTATAATTCTGGCACTAAAACAGACTAGCTATGAGCACCCACATTAAATATTTATTTTTACTTGCAATAAACTAAAATATGTAGGAGAAAAAGAGACATAGTCAGAATTAAAATTTTCTTTTTTTTTTCTGAGATGGAGACTGACTCTGTCACCCAGGCTGGAGTGCCATGGTGCGATCTTGGCTCACTACAACCTCTGCCTCCTGGGTTCAAGCAATTCTCTTGTCTCAGCCTCCCAAGTAGCTGGGATTACAGGCGCATGCCGCCATGCCCGGCTGATTTTTTGTATTTTTAGTAGAGATGGGGTTTTGTCATATTGCCCAGGCTGGTCTCGAACTCCTGAACTCAGGCAATCCACCCGCCTTGGTCTCCAAATGCTAGGATTACAGGCGTAAGCCACCATGCCCAGCCAGAATTAAAATTTTCATTTAAATGTCAAAAAGTTTAGAATAAGACAATACAACACCTGCAAACTTAATGGGAGTTCGTGAATTCTGGTAGCCAGTGTTCGGATTTCTCTGTCAGACAAGACACCAGATTGGTCTGTATCAACTTCATCAAAGACTTGAGATATATTCAATGGCTGAACTGCACTCATGAGATAATAAAAGTAAGAGAAGGCAAACTGCATATCCTCAGAATGGCGCACTTTGTGAAATGACGTCTTGTCAAATTCTTCAGGGAACCTGTCCAAATATAACATATTACGAACTCTGGATATTCAAAGTATGTATGGTATCTAACACTTGCAGAGATGGATTTTTTTTCCTTCCCACTTATTTAGATAATATTAATCATCAAATATTAGAGCCATAAATTTAGCATGGTAAATATGCAAATTTTTCAAGTAGTCTTAGTTCGGAACACAAGCAAACAACTCAAACACAAGCAAGACTTACATATCTTGCAGTTCTTGCATAACAATCCGGTCAATCATGTGAGGCATGTGAGCAGGGACTTTCCGCGATGTGAATCCAAACTTGCTATTTAGGATCTTATTTACATATCTGAGGGAATCTGCAAATGTATCTTTTAGCTGCCTCCCAGTATTTTTGCTATCAGTAAAGTATGCCAATTGTGTCTTCAATGACTCTTCTTCCTGAAGAGAGAATTCCACATGTAACTCAGCATTATGTTTAGTATACAAATGTACTTTGTTACAAGGCATTTTGTATAATGTGGTAATAACTAGTCACTAATTCTCCATTAGGTGCAAATGAAATGCATGTTAATAGGTCACTTTAAGGATCTAAACTGGATTTAGCAGACTAAACTGGATTTCAGTGCCAGTATTACCAATACTGGTTTGAGAATAACAGCTGTATGATGGATATCTATATAATAACAGTCACAGGGTATTCTTCAAGGACTGGCCAATGACCATGAGATTTCAAAGTCAATTCAATGCAACATTTAGAAAATTTATTTACATATAAATTTGATAGTACTTTCAATATCAAGCTATTTCTGCAGGTGATATCAAATCTGCAAGTCCTTGAGTTTTAAGCACAAGGACTAGAAACAAATTTGGGTATAATAGTTTTAATATTACAAAATCAAAACCAGTAAGTGGCAGAACTAAATAGGCAAAGAAAATTGGCAAAGCATTCAAACAGTTTACAGAAATATTTTTGCTTCTCAAGCTGATAAAAATGTAAGATTGATATTAAATGCTGTTGGTTAGACTGCAGTGAAACAAGCACTCCTGCATACTGTTTGTGGAAATATGAAGTGGTGCAATACTTCAGAAAGACATATTTAAAGTTCATACCTGTTAACCTAGTAATTCTACCTGCAGAAATAAAACTCACTCAAGTGTAAGATACATGTACAAGAGTATTCACTGCAACACTATTTGTAATCATGAAACACTGGAAATAACTAACTTGCAGCTATTAAAAAGAACAGTGGTATTGGCATGGGTCATTTGCCCACATAGTACTACATCAAAAGGCAACTGAAGGGAAATATATGTAAATTTATAGTACACATATATTTCTATAACTATATGTACATATATGTATGTTTGCATAGCTAGAGAGTAATACTGGAAGAATACCCATCAAACTATTAACAGCAATTATCTCCAAGAGATAGCCTGAAGAAGGAAGAAACTTTCCTTTTTTTACCATACACTTTTGGATTGCTTTCAGTTTTACCACTAGCCTATAATGCTTTTGTGAATTTTTTTAAAAAGTTAAGAAAAGGGGGAACTGAGGAAATAAACATAGTCAAGAACACTGCAGTCCTTCACTAGACAATCTGTAAATGCCTCATGTGCAAGGCACAAGATACTTCCTAAATTGCTGAGGGCATAGTTCCTCCTTCACCCTTTTTTCTCCCAGTCTAACATCCACTCGTGGCTGTGTGCTTTCACTATCCAGCCCAAACTGTATGATTTTTTTCTTGGTCTGTCAACTCCCACCCCTTTGAGGGTCAGTCGACAGGGCACTTCCTCCTGTATACCTTCCCCAGTACTTTTTGGCAGAGCTAGGAGTCAGTCTTCCCTCTGGACTTCTTGCCCATACCTCAACAAAGACACATCTCTTTGCTACAGTTATCTCCCCACAAATTTATCTTCTCTACTAGTCTCTGAGTTTCCACGAGCAGTGGCTATGTTTCCGTCATCTTGCATTCCCCAGTGGTAAGCACCATGAGAGCACTGAGTAGAGGTACAGTTGACACCACAGCATAGTGAGGTTATGGTACAGGGGGATGAGCACTCCAACTCTGAGGCTTGGTTCACACTGACTTGCTGTTATAATGTTGGGGAAGCTATTGAACTTAATTCAACATCAGGGTTTTTTCATGAGTAAAGCTGGAAAGATAACCAGATCTGAAATGTCAAGTAAAGACAACATGCCACTTCCTGCTCTCCTTCCTTGAAGTATGCCCCTGGCTAAATCCCTTACTCATTCACACTTGGGCTGTTTCCTAAACTGCAAAATGGGGGTAACAATAAGAAATACCTTCATATGGCATTTTTATTATTAGGGTTAGTGGGTAAATTAAATGAAACCATGTAAGAAAACCACTTAGCTCCATGGCTGGCACAGGGAAGCACTGGATAAATGGTAACTATAATGATATTATCACTTACAAGATTACTTACTTTTCCTGAGCATGAGAAAGAATGAGGCTGGATGTAACTTACGTCAAGAAGATCTTGGAAATACTTTTTTTTCTCCCATGGCAAAAAGCCCAAGTAACTATCTGTGTAATACTGCAGCTTTCTTCCAGGTAACACTTCAGTAACGCCTAAGTGGTTTTCAGCATTTTCCTCCATTCTGTTCTCCTTTTCTTTCCCCGTGATTTTCTTTTCTTTTGTCATCTGGCTTTCCAGTAGAACAATCAGAGGTGAGGGTTTTTCTTTTGTCACATTTCCACCTCCTGATTTTTGGATATGAGTTTCTGATCCAAATCTTGCTTTGGTCTCCAAGTCCAGGGGTGGATTCTGACCCTGGTCATGACCATTCACTTTTACACTCACTGCAGGAAAAGTCAACCTCTGTAATCTTTCAGACACTCCTAAGCTATTTGGCAAGATGCTTTTATGAACCTGTTTTTCTTGTGGAGCTACCAACCTGTCATTTGTTTCATCTGTTATTATAGGTTGATGTTTTACTTTAGCATGCTGTGAGTTCATCAGAAATGATCTCAGCAAGACTGACTTGGACAAATTGTATCCTTTCAAAGTGATGTCTCCATGTTCCAGTTGCAAATCCAAGTTACTGAGACTCAACTGGGCCTCTTTTGGAAGGAGTGAAATGTTTACTAAGGGAATTTTCACCTCCTCCTGAGGTCTCCTTGTTGAGTTAATATCATGTCTCTTGAACTTTGGGAAGCGTTTTTCTTTGGGAATATCCTCAAAAAGGATTTCCGCCTCTGGAGCAAGTGTTATGGGGCTAACCAAATTTTCATAAGCCTTCTGAATCGTAGAATTCAGTTTTGATCCCTCCCTTGTGTCCACCTCCACTGCTATCTGGATTTTGAACTCTTCATCATTTGTATTTTGAAACGTGAGATTAAAATGTATTGTGGTGGCATTCATTCCACTGTGCATTATGAGATGGATGGTTTTCCACTTGTTGGCAATAGAAGCATGTCGAATTACTGGATTGTCACTATAGGCACCTTCAATTCCTCTTTTGGCTATTTCTGCAAAGCTGAAATAAGGCAGGCATTCACCTTTTGGAATAATATAGTGAGTCTGGTTTGGGAGAAGAGTCACTTTATACAATTCATGAAAATGATCTAGAGGAAAAAACAGAAATGATTTTTTTTTTAAACTAAGCATTTTTCCTCCATTTTCCTTTTATTCTTTGGGTCTGAGTTTTCACTTTCTTTAAAAAAAAATAGGGAACACTTCACAATTTGCATGTCATTCTTGTGCAGGCACCATGCTAATGCTGAAACTGTTCTAATTTTAGTATATGTGCTACCAAAGTAAGCACTGAGTTTCTATTTTCTAAGAGTGACTTTAATTTCAAAATAATCATATACTCTAACACAACAGTTACTGGTGTAAGCCTCATTTCACTGAGGCAGTCAAAATAATTACCACGAAATGGTGAACTTGACTCACTATAGAGATATGGCATGATTCTTAACAATAAATTACAATAATCAATTTCCATCTTTTTGTACATTGAAAAAAACTTTCTGCCAAAACAACCTCCACTAATATGCTGTCAACAAAATCCAATATTCAAGCCATCTTTATTTAACAAATTATTGATATCCTTTTTTGTTTCCAAATTAAAACGTCACCACATGTTTTCAGCTAAGGTAAATCTGCTTAGTCCAAACAAAACAAAACAAAACAAAAAACCAGACTGCAACAATAACAGGAAAAGATCATCTTTAGTGATTTATGTTGTTCTCTTACTTTTAACTTATAACTAGTTTGAATGTAAGGCTGGAAAAGGGATACACAGAGAATAATTACATTAAATAACAAAAGCCATTCAAAACTCTCTACCTGTCAAGGTTGTTTAAATCCTCCTATTCTTAATATGTTTGTTTGGCAGTAAACATACCTTGCCCACAGTCGCCAGCATCGAACCCACAGGATAAGACATTGCATGCTTGGTCACAGAACTTATCAGCGAGCCAGGAATTAGCACATCCCTGATTACAGTAAGAGACACTGTTTATTCCTCCACCAAACTGCCAGGGCTGTCCAACTCCAATACTCCCGGTACCGCCACCTCCTGCAATATAGCGACTCCCTCCACTGTTACCTGTAGAGGGGAGGAGGAAGAGGGAATCTTGCTGTAATTACAATTTTGAAAAAGGAAGTTCCGGACTGGGCATGGTGGCTCGTGCCTGCAATCTCGATACTTCAGGAGGCCGAGGTGGCTGGATCATCTGAGGTCAGGAGTTTGAGACCAGCCTGGCCAACATAGTAAAACCCTGTCTCTACTAAAAATACATAGATTAGCTGGGCGTGGTGCCGCCCAACTACTAGGGCGGCTGAGGCAGGAGACTCACTTGAACCCAGGAGGTGGAGGTTGCAGTAAGCTAAGATTGCACCACTGCACTCCAGCCTGGACAACAAGAATGAAACTCCATCTCAAACAAACAAACATAATGAAAAAGACAGTTACTTATTTCATACCAATGTGAGGTTCACCTCATTCTTTAGTAGAAAATCTCATATACCTTAAGAAGAAAATAAACTGAAAAGGAAGTAACTTGACAGAAGCGTGATGAACAGGCCTTGGCATTTTGTAGCTGTGGAACCTACAAGTACAGGCCTTACATTTGCTGAAGGGGCATGTGCTGACAGAAATGGAAGAGCACGAAAACAAGAAGAGATTATTCCAAGTTTGTGAACTGCCAAAAACGTGGGTATCATGCTTGCTACCCCTTGTTATCAAATGCTAATGTTCTAGTAGAGACTGACTTGTCTGGTCTACACGGATCTACTTTGATTATCTATATTCTTTCTCTGCATCTAAAGTGAATCCAATACATCTGACTGAAATACAATTTGAAGCTTTATTCCTACAATATTCAAACACTTCCAAATCCATATGGAAATGGGAATGATAACATTTGTGTACATACTCTCTCTCAGGTGACAAAATTCAAGTGAATATGATGAATAATGCTCTATAAATTTAATGCTTCATAAATTGAAAGGCAGTAAGCAAATGTAACAAATTGCTATTATCGACAAGTCAAAAATATAAGTATGTGTGGGAGGGAGAAGAGTTGCTGAGGAGAGAAAATACTCATTTATTTTGCAACTCTTTAGTCATTCTGTGACCTATCACAATCTGCTGCTGGAAGCTACCAGCAGTGAGTTCCCATAAGAACCAGTTAGAGTGATTCCTGCTCTTGGGTTCACATAATTAAGTATATTCCAGATTTTCATATTTTAAATTAGAAGACATTTTCAAGTGTATTTTCTCATGTTCAATGCCCTCAACAATGAATAATATGAATAAACTGGGCCACATGGGAGCACTAATTACCACCTCCAAAGAGTCTACTGATTCCTGATTTTTTTTTTGAGACTGGGTATCATTCTGCCACCCAGGCTGGAGTGCAGTGGTACAATTACAGCTCACTGCAGCCTCAAACTCCTAGGCTCAAACAATCCTCCTGCCTCAACCTCCCAAGTAGCTAGGACTACAGGTGTGCGCCACCACACTTGGCTAATTTTTTTCTTGAGAAATGGGGTCTTACTACGTTGCCCAGGCTAGTCTTGAACTCCTGGCCTCAAGCAATTCTCCCAGCTCAGCTTTGCAAAGCACTGGATTATAAGCATAAGCCACCATGCTCAGCATTACTGACTGTTTATTAATACAGGAGAATGTTTGGTTAAGTCTATAGTACATGTTTAATAATGATTAAGAAGAAAAAATTCTATTAAATGAACAAATTACAGTTTAATACATCCTTACCGGAGCAATCCCCACCATCCCAATCACAGGCTGAATTATTACAAGCCTTGTCACAATAGCCATCTTTAATCCAGGAACCTGGGCAGCCCTCAGCACAGTTTGGCACAGGCCACGTCAAATAAACCTACGATAAAAACAAAGAGAAAAGAAAATGGCTTCTGGCTTCTGATGTTTTATTCTTAAGATTCCTTTTATAAAAAGAAATTGACTCTCTAAAAAAGGTTAAAATTTTCCAAGGGCAGAGGGTTCACATTCATAATTGCTTTAAGCTTGCCTGTACTTATAGTCATTGTTTAGATCCTGCTGTGTTGACAGTTGTTACTGAGCATATTTACTTTTTTTCTATTACTCAAGGGAAGCAGACAAGGATTCAACTCATGGATTAGTCTCACAACATGCTTTGATAATCTACTATGAAATAAAGTAGCACCATGCCAGACTTACAACAAGTACCAAAGCATGTCAAAGCTGGTGGGAAGTATGCAAGGTTACTGCTTTTCTGTAACAAGGATCAGTGTATTTGTGCATAATCTTGTCTCAAGGCTGAGAGACAATATCCTCTCTCTTCATGTATAAGGCCCCATGATGAATTAACCAGCACAGCATTCTGAGCTCTCAAAATGAGTGACAGGGCAATGGTTACTTTTTAAATTAAAATCATTGAAAAAATATATACTCCTCTTTAAAAATCTCTGTGCCTTTGCAAACTCTAATTGGAATTTTTTTTCACCTAAACTAACTCTTACTTGTTCTTCACAGTACATGACAATTCAGATGGGCGTTCTTCCCTTTCCCATCTGATTTAAGTCTCCTATGCTCACACTCCTCAGCACCAAGGCACACCTGTCACCAGGAAAAGCACTGCACAGTCATTGATCTTGTGTTTGTCCTCCTGTTAAGGCACAAGCCCAACTTTGAGCCCTATGATCTGATACAGAGGAGACAAGTCAATAAGGGAACAGGACAATGAATGGTCAAGTAGCATAAACAGTAACAGAGAAAGTAGTTTTGTGTTACTAGCACTTATAGTTGCAGAGTTTTAGAGCTTATAAGTTTACGGTGATTAAGTCTAACTTATCACTGAACCCTTTTAACAATGCTAAAAGGGTATTTGTACTTTCCTCACTATGCAGACAGAAAACAGGGGTAAAGCCAGCCCAGGGTCATCCTGAAGCATTGGCCCCCATGTCTGCACTCTCAATAACTTCTCCATCTCACTGCTCAACAAAGTTAGAGTACAATAGCCTGCCTTAAATGAAATTTCACCTATGGCTTTAAGCACTGACTTGAGGTAACTTTCTATTTTGCTGACATTCTAAAAATTATTTTCTGTTTCACAGTGATTTTGCTTTTTCTGCTATCATAGTAGTAGAAAATATAGATGGTCAGGGAAAAAGGTGTGGGTCCTGAGTGTCTAAAAATGTTGGAAAGCAAATTTCTAACTGTGGTGTTCTCACTTCTTCATTGTTAACTTCTGAGCTTAGCACTTGAAAATGATTATTTGCTCATATATATTTCATTTTTATTTTTTGAGATCAGGTTCTCACCCTGTCACCCAAGCTGGAGTGCAATGGTGTGATCACAGCTCACTGCTGCCTGAACATTCAAGCTAAAGCAATCTCTTCCCATCTTAGCTGGTGACCCCACTTTCCCCACCATCCCTTACACCCAAGTAGCTGCGACTACATGAATATTCCACCATGCCCAGATAATTGTTCTACTTTTTTTTTTTTTGAGACAGAGTTTCACTCTTGTTACCCAGGCTGGAGTGCAATGGCGTGATCTCGGCTCATGGCAACCTCCGCCTCCTTGGGCTCAGGCAATTCTCCTGCCTCAACCTCCTGAGTAGCTGCGATTACAGGCACGTGCCACCATGCCCAGCTAATTTTTTTGTATTTTTAGTAGAGATGGGGTTTCACCATGTTGACCAGGATGGTCTCGATCTCTTGACCTCGTGATCCACCTGCCTCAGCAATTGTTTTACTTTTTGTAGAGATGGAGGTCTCACTAGGTTTCCCAAGCTGGCCACAAACTCCTAGGGTCAAGTAATCCACCTGCCTCAGCCTCCCAAAATCCTGGGATTAAAGGTGTGAGCCACCATGCCTGACCGGTTTGATATTTGACTATAGTAGTATGTGCACTGATTTTCTGATTTGCTAACTAACTTCCACACTAGACATCCCCCCTCCTCTTAGGCACTCACCTTCTGGCCTTTGGAGTGACTGTAAAAATCATCTGGCCAGACATCCTTCCCAAACATGACATCATCATTTAGGTAAATAAACTTCTGGGACAGCCCTTCGATGCGATGAATGTGACTTTCAATAGCCGGTGAACTAAAGGTAGGCAAGTGGCTCAAATTTCGAAAAACATCCTTTTAACAACAACAAACAAAAAAAGAGAGTGAATGAGAGCTGCTTTGGCTTGGTTTCGTTTTTAAAAGGAAGGAAGGGAAGGCAATGAAGAGTTAAAGAAAGGTAGAAATGGAGGTAGAATAGAAAAGAGAATGAAATTATGGAAATCCCTGTACCACACTAAAAAAGAATTGGAAACCACAGTCTCGTGATATTCAGAAAGTCTTGTACCTGGTGTGTTACTATTGTCACTCGAGGATTGTCAAGGTTCAGCCAGGATGGAATCTGCCCGTTGGTGACGATGAAAATATTCCGAACCCACGGTGCATGCCTCTCGATAGATCGCAATGAGTACCTCAGTTCTTCATTATCTTCAAAACGACTAGCAGAAATGTCTTCATCCTGCTTAGACTGAGAAAAACACTTGGCACGTGAAGATGTGAAATACCCCTTAAGTCATACCTCCTCCTGTTTATCCTTTCCCTCTGCCCTGTCTGCTCTCAAAATGGAGTCCTAATTTTATACATTACAAAAAGGCAAAAAATTCAATATATTTTTTAAGCCCATTCAAAGATACAGCATTTCTCTAACACACTATAGAAAAGGTTCTTGGATCTGATTCTAGGTCACTTCAATTAATACCAAACCAATGGCAAATGACTAGAAAATTGGAAACGTTCCAATCAACTCACTTCTCTGTAAGTCCTCTTCCCTCTTCTAATATAGTAACTTAAAAATTGTTATCATCTTAACCCTTGATTTGGGTTGTAAAAGAATCTGTGCATCCCTTACCTGGCTGATGGCACTCAGATCCCATAATAAATATGCAGGACTTATGGTCAGTTCTTTTCCATCAATGGTCATGTTCTTCTTAGTTTGCTTATTCAATTCTTGAAAATCCTTAGGGTTATTCAATTTTAGAAGTGCTACACTGGCCTCCGAATACAACTGCAACTATCAAATAACAAGAGAGTTACACACGAAGTCTGAGTGTCAAGAAGGATGAGGCACCTTTAAATTCCCAATCTGTTCTTTAATCTTTGTTTTTTGTTTTTGCTTATTTATTTATTTATTTTCTGTGACAGAGTCTCATTCTGTTGGCCAGGCTGGAGTGCAGTGGTGCAATCTCAGCTCACCACAACCTCCGCCTCCCGGGTTCAAGCGATTCTCCTGCCTCAGCCTCCTGAGTAGCTGGGACTACAGGCATGCACCACCACTCCTGGCTAATTTTTGTACTTTTAGTAGAGACGGGGTTTTGCCATGTTGGCCAGGCTGGTCTCCAACTCCTGACCTTAGGTGATCTACCTGCCTCAGCCTTCCAAAGTGCTTAGATTACAGGAGTGAGCCACCACACCCGTCCTGCTCTTTCTTGAAATGGTAAGACAATATGAAAACACAACAAAATGACCTACACAGACCAGGTGCATTTCCCAAATGAATGTAACAAACCAGGCATCTAAAACCAAGAAGGAGTGGTGAAGGCCGTGGCAATGTGGACACCTCAGAGCTACCTGAAAGCTGTAACCACTCAATGCCACCAAGTGCTGCCAGATCTCCTAAGAGGCAACAACCCCCAAGTGTTGTATGAAATCTCCCCAATTTTTCATTGGCGGTCCAAATGATTTTTGAATGCTTTGCATTCAAACAAAATACACCTACTGGCCAACAGTTTTGTGACTCTTCTTCTAGAATATTACCAATCTGCTTATTCTGGGCAAAAAACCTGCAATGTAACTAACTTGCTGGAATTGGTGAAAGCATATCTGCTAGTGGGGTGTCTGAATAGCTTTTATGCCACATACTTAGGAGGAGTATCTTTGGCAGGACTACCTGAAGTGCTTCCATGGGAAAACTACCTTTTGGGGCAATCATAAATCAAAGAGCGAACATCATAAACATCAAGTTCTACAAACAGGCTTTGCCATCCCTACCAAAGCCCACACAACTCTTTATCTGTTTTCTGTTCTGACTCTGTATCACATAACTTCCTATGAAGAGGCTTGCATAGCTCAGGAAAAGGCGAGAGGCCTGAAAAAATATAGGACAGTAAAATCTTTCTTCTGAACTAGTGCTTCTAAAAGAGCTTATGGTCTTCTTTCTGAATCTATAAAACAGAAGCAAACACAATTATGAGCTCATTCTGAGCTCTTCTATTTGCTGCATGACTATTCTTAGCTCATTTTCTAAGCAGTTTCCTGAGCTTATGTAGTAGTCCAAAACACCAGAGGTTGGAGTTAGAAATTACATTTATATCTTTTCCCCTTATTATGTAGGCCATTAACTCTTCTCACAGATTTGGTGCAGGTGCATGTGTGAGCACCTGCATATGCGTGTAACTGTCTTCTTAACTCATCACTTTTTTTTAACCTCTTTTACTTAATGAGTGCCTGGCACATATTTAGCACTCACTAAGTTGGTTCTCACTGTGTCACCATCAAGCCTTGGCATATGTGCCGTGTTGGGAGGCAGGCCATACAGAAGGATTAGTAGCCTGCCTGGGTCCCTTACCACTCTCTCACGTCTCCTGTCCCCTTCCTCCCTCTCATAGCACCCCAAAGCATTTCTGAGGGCTCCCTGGAGAGAAAAGGTCACGATTCTAGAATAGAATAATTTATTATTTTTTTTTGTGACAGAGTTTCGCTGCTGTTACCCAGGCTGGAGTGCAATGGCACGATCTTGGCTCACTGCAACCTCCGCCTTCTGGGTTCAAGCAATTCTCCTGCCTCACCCTCCCGAGTAACTGGGATTACAGGCACGTGCCACCATGCCCAGCTAATTTTTGTATTTTTAGTAGAGACGGGGTTTCACCTTGTTGACCAGGATGGTCTCAATCTCTTGACCTCATGATCCACCCGCCTCAGCCTCCCAAAGTGCTGGGATCATAGGCGTGAGCCACCGTGCCCAGCCAGAATAATTTATTTATTTATATATTTTTAGATGGAGTCTCACTCTATCACCCAGGCTGGAGTGCAGTGACGTGATCTTGGCTCACTGCAACCTCTGTCTCCTGGATTCAAATGATTCTCCTGCCTCAGCCTTCTGAATAGCTGGGATTACAGCCATGCACCACCACGCTCAGTTAATTTTTTTGTATTTTTAGTAGAGGCAGGGTTTCAGCACTGCCTTAAACTGCCAGGCTGGTCTCAAACTCCTGACCTCAAATGATCCGCCTGACTTGGCCTCCCAAAGTGCTGGGATTACAGGCATGAACCACCGTGCCTAGCTCCCATCTCTCATTTCTTGAGGGCCATCAGTGTCTGGTTCAATCACAGCTTCGTTATTAATTTCTAGATCACTTTCCTCATTTGATGGTTTGTCTGTCTTTATGTTTTCCTCCACCTTCTTACTGTTTTTCTTCCTTGATATTTTATTCTGATTTATAAGAGCTTTCTGAGTAGCAGGTGGTACTTCACCCCCCATGCTCTCCACCCTCTCCTTCAGGAAGCACATTTCCTTGGTGTGCAGAATACTTGGATCCTGCTTACACATTTTCGCGAAGTCCCAAAGTTCATTCACTTTCCATGATCGAAGGCAGTGGGCAAAGCTGAAGATCCACAACCCAGTTTCAGGCCCAGGTGCTGGCTTGGTGTAACCTCGAAGAAGCAGTTAGGTCTAGTTTTATTTCATAACTTGTATTGACCATTTGCTTGATAAGAAGGTTTATCACTAAAACTATTCTTATATTAGCAACCTTGCCTAGGGTTGATTTCTAATTATACATGCATAAAAGAGCAAGAAGAGGTTTTTCTATAGTAACTATAAAATAATTCAAAGAGAGGTCAAAATTAAGGAGGTTAAGGTAATATTTATATGTATGAGAAAGATTTTCTACCACTATAAAAAGGGTGGGGAAGTACCCTCTGACAGCCACTAGGTGGCAGCCCAATCCTGGACATCATCATTACTTCTGCCAGAAGAGAGAGGGGCGGTGGTGGAAAGAGTAGTTGTAGTTTGTGCCAGAGGCTGGAGTTCATGGCTTGGGCAATTGTGGGCAACTGCCTCCATATATAGCGTCTTGCTTTAAATTGTAAGTTTATATAAATTACAAGTTTCTTCAAAAGGGAACAACTTCTATATCCACCCCCTGTAGACCCACAGTGAGCAACATGTAACATGACTAAGAAATAAAGCTTTGTTATTTTTAGCCGTTGAGATTCCAGAATGTTTGTTATGGCATCATCATCTAGAATAACATGACGATACACCTGGTACCTGTGGGAGTATGAGGCACAGGAAGACAGACAGAGGGAGAACTAAATGGTGGTTGAGGCCAGGGCCTGGCTAGGCTACAACCATTGAGCAACTGATGGATCAATTTGAGTCAAGGAAGTACAATACAGATGACGGTCAGGAGATGATGCAGTGTTGTAGAAAGCAGGAGGAAAAAAATGTTAATTTGGGTATATTTCTAAAGACAAATAACAAACATCAAAATTAAGGGACAAGAAACAAAATTAAGTGAGTTTTGTAATTAGTACATCAATGGAGACCAATTTCAATGGCATGACAGGTATGAAAACCAGATTTCAAGTGCTTGATACTTCACAGTTAAACTTCTAGATATGATATGTACATATGTATGTACATATTGGAAGCAAATCTAACACTTTACATTTTGTACACTGTATAACATGGGACAGGGATGATAAAACAGTCACAGGAGTATTAAATTCGGTATAATCAGCATAACTGACCAAATAACAAGACATAAGAATTGAAAAAGCAGTGTAAATAATCCCAGCACTTTGGGAGGCCAAGATGGGCAGATCATGAGATCAGGATATTGAGACCATCCTGGCTAACACGGTGAAATCATATTTCTACTAAAAATACAAAACATTAGCCGGGTGTAGTGGTATACACCTGTAGTCCCAGCTACTTGGAAGGCTGAGGCAGGAGAATCGCTTGAACCTGGAAGGTCGAGGCTGCGGTGAGCCAAGATCAGGCCACTACACTCCAGCCTGGGCAAGAGAGAGAGACTTTTTCTCAAAAAAAAAAAAAAAAAAAAAAAAAAAAAAAAAAAATATATATATATATATATATATATATATTTGCTTTTAAATTCTCTAAATGAAAACTATCAAGGCAAGATGAGAGTATATTAATATAAAATATACAGAACCACTTTTAAGATATTGCTTATTGTGAGAATATTCTAATTAAATAGTCCTACTGTTCTCAGCATTGTAGCTTATATTTAAAAATTGGCTTAAAAAGCAATAGTAGCCAACAAATCTTTTGAATGCGTGTTTTTAAGTCAACCAAAAATAATGAGTGTAAAAGAGAAAGTATCCTTTTAAGGCAGACAAAGTAGTTGTATTTTAAGATAAGCCTTAGTTAAAAATCATGACATCAACCTGGTCACATTTTTAAATGCCAAAAAGAAAAGCTGCATCAAGTTGTCTAAACAATCACATATCTGAAAATACTACTGGAGGACAGAGACCTGGGATGCTGCTAAGCATCCTACAATACATAGGACAGTCCCCTAAGGATAGCAGCATCCAGTCTAAACTGTCAATGGTCCAAAGGTTGAGAAAACTTGGTCTAGAAGAATATGCAAATCCAAAGGAATAATAAAGGCTTTCCTATTAGAAGTTATGTTCCCAGCACTTTGGGAGGCTGAGGCAGGTGGATCACAAGGTCAAGAGATCGAGACCATCCTGGTCAACATGGTGAAACCCCGTCTCTACTAAAAATACAAAAAAATTAGCTGGGCATGGTGGCGTGTGCCTGTAATCTCAGCTACTCGGGAGGCTGAGGCAGGAGAATTATCTGATCCCAGGAGGCAGAGGTTACGGTGAGCCGAGATCGTGCCATTGCACTCCAGCCTGGGTAACAAAAGCGAAACTCCGTCTCAAAAAAAAAAGAAGTTATGTTCCCAACAACTTTAAAGTGCCTACAAATTCAGAAGAAGTAATCTACTTTCATTCTGGATTCATTTGATTTAAAAATCATTAAAAATATTTTAGGGGAAAAAAACCCAGATGTCTGCTAATGCCAACTGAAAACCAAATTAGTATTTAAGTGACTCAACAATTTAAAGCTACTAGATCTTAGTATGTCCTGTTGGTTTTCTAAAACTTAAATCAGTTCCAGAGTTGGTTGTTTCATCTACTGAAGCTTTTAAATTTTAGAAATAAAACAAAAAAAGAAAAAGCTACCACACTTTAAAAGTGCACAAGGTGCGCCCTCTTTTAGAGATGTCTCTAAAAGAGGGTGCATTGGTACAAAATTATAATTTACTGTAACCTTAGACAGGCCCTGAACAGAGGTCTGAGGGGGCAAAGTCCATACAGGACAACATGCTGCTCCTGCCCTGCCTGCACAAACAACCCGTTCAATCTTCAAGAACCAGTGCAACCTCTTTCTCTTTGAAAACTTCCCCCATGTCTCTGATCACACAGACCTTTCCTATTTCTGACTGCCAACTCTATATATACACGCTGCTTCCAAATGTGACTATAAATGCTTGAGGAGAGGGTCTACATCTTCTTCACCTTTTGCACACCCACTCAGCAACTACTATAATTGAAGGAAACCTAACATAAGAATTCACTTTATAACTCGATCAAGACAGTTGCAGGTGGGCAAAAGAAAAAAAAAAAAAAGAATTCACTTGACAGCTTTGGGGAGATTTCCCACTTGCTCTAAATATGTGTAAAAATAAGTGAACAAAAACAAAAATCAAAAACTAAATGAAAAAACCCACCAGGAATGAAAATGTCTAAGGACACAAAATGATTTAGAGGGATCTGAAAATAAAGACTGATGGGTGATCTGATCTATCAAAAAATGAATTCGGTGTCCATCATACACAAAAATCATACAAATAAATTAGAGAGTAATCAGAGCATCAAAGGGCTCACCTCAAAGTATCTCAAATTAGAAAGCCTCATACAGAAAAGATTGATTTACATATAAGACCACAGTCAAAAGAAAATATTTTATGAATTCAAATTCATTATCTTACAAATCAAACTATTTTCAAGTCCCACATTCCTACCTCAGGGGAAAAAAAGAAGAAAAGAAAACAAAACAACTTCAGGTTTTGTTCTAAACAGGGTAACAATGGCCTAGTTGTTATGTATATACAATAATATACACAAACACATTTCTGCACCTAGAGTGACTCCTATGGATAATCACACTGCTGAAAAAATTCCCCTTTATAGTCCAAGACATTGCTGCATATGACTCATTCCTTGAGCAGTCCTCTAAGTGCCAAGTAATCACTAAAAGTAAAAAGGTGAACAGGGCAGCACACACCCATGGACCAGTAGACACATCAGAGCAGTCAGCACTGGTGGACAGCTGCAGCAGGCCAAGTGATGTGGGATATTCAATCCAGAGTGGAGTGTGGAGAAGTGGAATGAACTTCTTTCTTTTCAGCATTTATTATATTGAAATCATATAAATAGAATCAAGAATGCCACTCTATCTACATAAGCCAAGTTGAACTGGTGGTCAAAAGTACAGATATACATGTGTCTCTAATTCTAGAACAACTAGGAAGCCAAGAAGTCAAATAAACATCAGCTAAAATGAAAGCTAATCTATGGTTTTATCTGCCCAAATCAGTACTAAAAATAACTCAGAGGAAGGAGAGATGTATTATCTATTTTAAAATAACTGCAGTTAACAAAAAATTCAACTCTAATATAGTCAGGCATTACCATATTTCAAAGTAAAATAAAGAAAGTTACAAAGGGTCGGGTGCGGTGGCTCACACCTGTAATCCCAGCACTTTGGGAAGTCAAGATGGGTGGATCACCTGAGGTTAGGAGTTTGAGACCACCCAGGCCAACATGGCGAAACTCCCTCTCTATCCTAGGCATGGTACAGAGCAGGTTTCGCCATGCAACTTGGAGGCTGAGGCAGGAGATTCCTTTGAAGCTGGGAGGCGGAGGTTGCAACGAGCTCAAATCGCACTACTGCACTCTAGCCTGGTGACAGGGCAAGATTGTTTCAAAAAAAGAAAGAAAGAAAGTTACAAAGGAAAATATGAAAAAAAAAAAAAAAAGAAAAAATCCTAAGTGGTCATTCTCATTGTATTACAAGAATAATACAATGTATCATAATACAGTAAAACACCTGGTCTAGGGTCGGGAGGAACAAGTTAAAAGAACATGGTTGGGGGGTATAAAAACATGGTTAAGACAGGATAAGTAAAAACTCCTCTCTAATCACAGCTCCCCTACCATTACTCCATCTTCATCCTTTTGAGGGACTGTGTTAAGGAACAAAAAACCTCTTCCGCGAGTCCACAGGGGCGTGGTTTCAAAGGCAGGAATTTCCCAGCGCCATGCCTCCATTCACGCCCTTATCCAGGATGTAAAGTTCTCTGACTTTCACGTTGTGCGAGCTAGGTAAAAATTCCAGGTGTGCTTCTTCGTTTAAAAATCCCCGAAAAGCTCTGGAAGGAAGGGCCTATGTTGCGGAGCTAGCAGCCAATCCGATATCAAAGTCGAAAATCAATTACTCCAGAGGAAGTTTAAAAGAACTCCTCTCATTGGACGAGAACATGAATGGGGCAGGAATAACTCCCGGGCTAAAATCCCACTGCTCCTTACCTCTGCGGTAAGGAGCAGATTCCCCTACCATGGCAGATGTCACCCCTCTCTCTTTCTTTCTTTCTCTCTCTCTTCTCTCCTCTCTCCTCTGTCCTCTGTCCTCTCTCTCTCTCCCTTCCCCCATTCTTGGGGCAAGGGAGGTCAAGGACCTGGGCACATGGAGGAAAACATCAGATCGGAGAACTGAAAGCTCTTTGGGATGCCCCCACTACTCTGTTCCTGTCCCCCGTTACATCTTTGGCAAGCACGGGGAGGGAGTTGAGCCCCTGCGCCCGGCGTAGTTACACTTTCACCCTCAAAATTGTTAAATGGGCTGGGCATGGTGGCTCACGCCTATAATCCAGCTTGGGAGGCTGAGGTAGGTGGATCATGAGGTCAAGAAATCGAGACCATCCTGGCCAACACGGTGAAGCCCCACCTCTACTAAAAATATAAAAATTAGCTGGATGTCGTGGTGCGCACCTGTAGTCCCAGCTACTCAGGTTGCTGAGGCAGGAAAATCGCTTGAATCCTGAAGGTGGAGGTTGCAGTGAGCCAAGATCACACCACTGCACTCCTTCCAGCCTGATGACAGAGGGAGACTTTGTCTCAAAAAAAAAAAAAAAAATTGTTAAATGACATACAACAGAAGGAAGTAAGAATCAGTAAGCTAAATCCAGTGGCAGAACTCACAAAGCATTTCTTTATAAAATCAAGAAAACTAGAGCCTTGCAAATTCTGAGACAAGTACTTTAGGCCCTCTACTCTAAGAGACGAAACATTCACGATTTACAACCTGAAACGCTTCTGACAGAATAGCAAGCATCTTGAGGTAAGGTCAAATAGGGGGTACACCCACATGGATTATGTCCTAAGTCAATCAGGCAAAGGCTCTGAAAACAATTCATGTAAGGAAAAGGCATGTCCCAGGCCAGCCTCCAGAGTCCACCCCAACAAATGGCATCAATGGTCTAGCCTGAAAAGCTAATAAATATAAATTTTAAATACATTTGTGCCTCAGTTAGCTACTAATGAATGGTTTCTCATTAGCAAATGTTCCCTATATCTGAAGCACACTACCTTTATGAGCGAAAGCTCTGAGTAAACAACAGGCTGTGTGCATTGATGATATTTATGCCTTTCCCTCATCTCCTCCCATTCTTCCATTGTTCACACCCTAAGTTCCATCCAGGCCTTTGTTTTGTCCACTGCTGCATCTCCAGCAGCTGAAGTACCACCTAAGACATTGTAGGAGCTTATTTGTTAAACAAATGAATCCTGCTCTATCCAGCAAACAAGCAAACCAAATAAGACTCTTAGATTTTTGCCCAAATTAAAAGTAAGGAGTGAGGCTCTTCTGGCAGAATAAAATCCCTCTTTGCTTCTTATATTTATCAGCTACACTTTGGGAAAAAAAAGGACCAAAAGAAAAGAATCACACATTAAATGAGAATGTGCCAGGCTAATTGCTCTATTTTCCATGTTCTTACCAGTTTGATTTTAGAGGAAAGATTTTCAGGCAATTTTGTTTTTAGTTGATTTGTTTCCTTGAATGTTGGTGGAAATCCACTCAGGAAAGCCAAATCTTGCATTAGCACTAATCCAGGGACTTCTTTATCTGTTGTCTAAAATAAGGAGAAAAAACACAACTCATTTTCCACATCATGAGGCTAGTGAAAACCTGCAGCTGAGAAAACTAGTAAAGAGCTATTGCATAACACATGCTTCAAAATATGACTTTTAGGATTACTTGAATCAATAGTCATTAATATTAGTAAACTACCCTTAGACAAAAAATAAACATTAAAAAGATTCTCATAGAAAAACCACTTTATTATTCATATTTTTATTCTAGCCTACTGTAAAAATGCAATTAAATTTTAAATAACATACCAAGTAGCCCCTCCATACTGTCTGTCTGTTGTTTCCTTTAAACAGTCCAGAGTGGGCATCTTCAACTACAATCAAGAATACCATAAGCATGCACATTTTTAATGAATACTTAACCACAGTGTCTGGTAAAACATTCTGAGAGCTATTAAAGCAGCATAAAACACTGTCAAAAAAAAAAAAAAGGAAGCTAAAAGGAAACAAAATTAGCCCATTCAACAAAAGGGGAACAGTGTAACTCAGTGTACGCTGAAATGCTGAATTTCACAATACCAAAGGTGATTGACACAGGTAGAAGAAACACGAATGCTTCATGGAAGCAGTCAAATTTAAGCTAGAATGCGAAGAAGGAAATGACAGGATGATAGAAATCACAGATGTATATGCAAACATGGGGGAATAAAAAGAATTGTTTGACTAGAATAAAACATTTGGGAGTGGTGAGTACCAGGAAACAAGGGCAACCAAAGGGGGCCCTTGCATGCCAGGCAGTGGCATATATGTTAACAGCAGGGAGCTACTATGGATCCTGTGGCTCCTTAAGAGGCACAGTTTTTTGGGAGGCTGAGGCAGGTGGATCACAAGGTCTGGAGTTCAAGACCAGCCTGGCCAAGATGCTGAAACTCCGTCTCTACTAAAAATACAAAAATTAGCCAGGTGTGGTGGCAGACGCCTGTAATCCCAGCTACTTGGGAGGCTGAGGCAGAGAACTGCTTGAACCCGGGAGGTGGAGGTTGCAGTGGGCTGAGATCGTACCACTTCACTCCAGCCTAGGTGACACAGCGAGATTCTGTCTCAAAGAGAAAAAAGGCACAGTTTTCTCATAATGAATCCCTAAAATTCATTGGGTGCTGCTGAATGGAGCATCATAAATTAGGGTAGGATTGGGGAGTGACACAGCCCAACTGGGAGAGGGTTAGTGATGGGGACAAGTGACATTAGCAACATTTAGGGATTGTGTTGCTGACATTCAGGGACTGTGGAAAACAGAAGAGAGGTCAGAAAGCTCTAATTCTGATCTTCAAGATAAACAAAGAAGGCAGGTGCTCCAATTTAGAGCCTGATGGATGAGATGTCAATCCTGGGCAAGAGTCTCAAGTGTACTGTAAAAATACAGTTGCAGGGCACAGTAGCTCATGCCTGCAATCTCAGCACTTGTGGGGCTGAGGCAGGTGTTATCACTTCAGCCCAGAAGTTCAAGATCAGCCTGGGCAACATGAAAAAACCTCGTCTCTAAAACAAACAAACAAAAACACAAAAAACTAGCCGAGTGTGGTAGGCTGAGATGAAAAGATCATCAGAGCCTGGGAGGTTGAGGCTGTGGTGAGCCATGATCATGCCACTGCACTCTAGCCTGGGTGACAGAGTGAGACCCTGTCTCAATAAACAAAACAAAACAAAACAATATAGTTGATGAGCACTGGAGAAAAGAAAGCTTTCATAATATACTGTTTATCTTTAAAGGAAGCACTGGGTGTTAAGAGTATGAGTTCATTACGATTTTATCAGATAAACTTTTCTCTTTCTCTTTCTATTGATAGGATGGATTCTGCCTAACAGACCTGGTCTATGTATTTGTAATCTCAGCAAAGTAGCTAAGAGCATCTCAAGTCATCTTCATGGATATCACAAAGACATACAGGTTTGATGCTCAGTTAGATAGGCTATAACTTAATCAATTCTACCAAAGAGGTGTGAATAACAAAGCCGCAATCAACATAGAGGGAGGTTTAGGAGATTAGTCATAGTTCCTTCTTACTGAACCCTCTATCCGTGTTTTGGAAGCTCCAGAAGGCATGCTTGTGAAATGTGTAGATTCATATGAAGATGACAGAGAAGCTATTGTCCTGGATAAGAGACTACGGATTCCCCAGATTTGTGACTACTTGGAGCAATGACTCAAACCTAGCAAAATAAAATCTCCTATGAAGTAAAACCTTTATAACTTGGTAACAAAACCAACTATACAAGCATAAAATGAAATAGGTATTTGAGCATTAGAGCATACACATTTGTTTTTTTTAAGATCAGTTTTACTGAACAATGAGTTCAGTATGAGTCAACAATGTGCTGTGGCCACACTGAATTTCCATCACATTTCTGTGCTTTTAAACAGAAGTACATTGAATAAAAAAGGTGATGATGTTCTCCAATACCGACTCATTAGGAAACCCCTGTTGGGTTGACCTTCAAAATGTCCAGAATCCAACCACTTCCTACCTTCACTGCACCTCCCTGGTCTAAGCAACCTTCCTTCTTGTCTGAATTATCACAACTTTTGCCCCTCCTCAGTCTATTTCCACCAAAGAAGTCAGACTGATCCCTCAGAAACGTAAGTCATCAGATCACATTACATTTCTACTCAAAACCCTCTGGTGAGTCCTCATCCCACTCCAAGTTAAAGCCAGGTCCTTGTTATGGCTACCATGGTCTATGTCATTTGGTACCCCCCTTACTTCTTCAGGTTCATCTACTGCCTGCCTCTGTCTTGTTCATTCCATTCCAGCCATACTGGTCTCCTTGCTTTTCTTCAAACTTGCCAGATACACTCCTGCCTCAGGGCCTTTGCAACGGCTATTCTACTTACCCAGACTACTCTCCCCAGATACTCATGTTGCTGGTTTTCTCACCTTCACATTTCCACTCAAAAGTCACCTTCTGAGTTAGGAATGTCCCTACCATCCAAAATAGAATTGCAACCTCCCTGCCCTGGCCGACACTTCCTCTGCTGCTGCCCCTCCCTGGTTTTTCTCCACAACATTATCTTCTACAAACTATATAATCTACTTATTTATTGTGTTTACTCTTTGACTCCCTCCACCAAGATGTAAACTCAAGGTAAGGGCAGAGATTTTTGGCCATCTGTTAACTGCTGTCTCTTCAACACAGAGAACAGTTCCTCATACACAGCAGGCACCTGATAAGCACTTGTTAGATGAACACTCCTGTTCTCCTTGCCAAAACAGAACCACACTAAAACAGAATGTTCACTTCTGAGAAGAGCAGACTGGGACACCGACAAGTCCCTTAGGGACAGCCAAAGAAAGGAAAATAAAATATCCCATGGGAGAGGGATTACATGAGTTCTGTGTGACAATAGGAGGTACAACTTTAACCTATGTGAGAAAATAAATTGCCACTAGAGGAAATTGGTGTGCTATAAATCAAAGGTGTAAGCCTAACTGGAAAAACTACTTTGCTGAGTAGACCCAGTTCCAGGCTGCAGAGCTGGACTATGTGAGTGGTGAGGTACAAATCAGTTCAGAATCTATACTGTGAAGGCGGAGACATTTGTACTTGGAAAGATGAACATTTCTTTTCAAACTCAAAATAACTTTTTTTTTTTTTTTTTTTTTTTGAGATAGGGTCTCACTCTTGCCCAGGCTGGAGATCAGTGGTGCAGTCTTGATTCACTGCAGCCTCGGTGTCTTAAGCTTAAGATCCTCCCACCTCAGCCTCCCAAGGCACATGCCATCATAGCAGACTAATTTTTGCGTGTTTTTTTTTTTTTGGAGAGACAGTGTTTTGCCATGTTACCAAGGCTGGTTTTGAACTCCTGAGCTCAAGCAATCTGCCCACCTTGACCTCCTCAAGTGCTGGGATTATATCTGTGAGCCACCACACCCAACCTCAAACCAAAAATAACTTGTTAAGTATCAGGGAGTGAGCACTGTTAGGCACTGATCAGGATATAAACTGGTGAGTGGTAAGTCTTCTGTTCAATAAAAAATTCCATAAGAAAAACCATCAACTCCTGTGCAACTACCTAAGTAATGAGTTAGACTGTAAGTATTCTAGAAATGTAGAAAAGTAAAAATGAAATCATTGTGAATATGTTAGTCTGGGAGCTTCATGGAGGAGAGAGGACTTGAGGTGGGGCTGGACGGAGCAGGAGACAAACTGGGAGAGGGAAGGGGACAGGTGGAAAGATACAAGGCCTAGCACCGCATGTGAGAAGACACTGACGGCTGCAACATGATGTGGGGAGGGCAGGGATGTGGGGATCAGCTGAAAAAAATCAAGGCAATTAAAGCTGAATCGCAAACATCAGGAAGAGAAGTTTGTATGCATGTGAAAAGCAAACATACACTGCTATATTATTCTCTTCATAAAGGCAGTGAACTCATAAAATCAGGGTTTTCAGATTTATTTGAGACCTGCGTGCCAGACAGACTGAGATGGACTTTACATAGAACAGCTAGGAGTCTTATTATTGGAGTCTGCGTGAGGGAATTCAGTCTGATGTGGAGGAGGTAAGTAAGGTAAGAACCTAAGAATCATGGGCAAAAAAAAAAAAAGTCAGTCATAGGATGAAGTTAATTATGAGTTATAGATGTAAAAAGTAAGAAGGGGTCAAAGATGGTTCCAAAGATTTTATCTGGGAGGTACGACACTGACAAAATGGGAGCTGGAGAACTAGACTTGGTGTTGGAAAGGGAACACGACAGCTTTTATTTTACACATAAAAACCACAGACCTTCCAAACAGAGACAATCCATGCAGAGGAGGAGAGAGACGAGAGGCTAGAGCAGAAGATGCAGGATACGCGCTCAGCAGTGCTCTGGTCAAGTGAGAGAATGGGATCGCTAAGGATGTGGGTGCAGTTTTATGCCAGGAATTACTATCTTAATTCCATTATTTGTCCAAATCATCTGTTGTCTTATAAACAACAGATATTTGTTTTTTTCACAGTTCTGGTGGTCAAAGTCTGAGATCAGAGTGCCAGCACGCTTGGGCTTTGGTGAGGGTCCTCTTCTAAGCTGCAGATGGCATCTTCTCATAATGTCACATGGTGGAGAGCAGAGAAAGCTCTTTGGAGTCTCTTTTGCTATTATTTATTATTTTGAGGCAAGGCCTTGCTCTATTGTCCAGGTTGGAATACTGCCCAGCCTTGAATTCCTGGGTTCAAGTGATCCTCTTGCCTTAGCCTCCCAAGTAGCCAGGACTATAGGCACATATCACCAAGTCCAGCTGTATTTTTCTGTAGAGACAGTTTCTCACTATGTTGCCTAGGCTGGTCTTGAAGTCCTTAAGCTCAAGCAATCCTCCTGCCTTAGTCTCCCCAAATTCCTGGAATTAGAGGCATGAGCCACTATGCCCAGCCTGGAATCTCTTTTATAAGGGTACTAATCCAATCAAAGCCTCCACTTCCTAATACATCATGCTGGGGGTTATGATTTCAACATAGAAATTTTGGAGGAAACACAAATATTCAGTTCATATATCTCAGAATGTAAAGAATGAATACTCCAGGTATGTTCTGTCTAAACTGTAGAACACAACCTTGTAGAGGAGTTATGTAGTAGAAAAAACATTGCCTCTAGAATAATTGATAGCCAAGAGAACAAGGTAACTATAACATCGGATTGAAGGTCCTCACCACAGCACAGAAGGTATGTGTGTTACACAGAGTAAAACAGATGCAGCAATCCCTTTTTGAGGTTAAGACCAAAATACAATGGCAGCTCTTTGCTTCTCTTTGTATATTTTAAGAAAAGTTCATCAGACATTTAAGACTAAATCGTTTCTATTACACTCAGAATTTTGTTATTTAAACATCCAATGATAACATGATTTCAAAATATTCATAAAAATATCTTACCATCCTTAGTACTGTCAAAAACAACAACTGAGACATTAGTAGAAGGATTTTTTGGTTTTGCAACATTGAACATGTCACTGGCAGAATGAAAAGAAGGATAAAGAGATGGCAGGTCCTTCAGGGTAATGTTGGCTGGCAGGGATGGGTCCAGGACAAGCATTGGCACCTTAATGCAGTGTGTCAGCAAACACTCTAACTGCTTCTCACTGGAAAGAAACACCAACATGCTTAATTGAAATTTAATCAATGATGAGAAGCATGTTATACTACTACATTTTTCAGATTTTTTACAGCCCATAAAAAAAAATCATAATATTTTAATAAATGAAGACTTTTATCTCATGGATACAAAAATTAAGTTAGTAAGTATGATATAAAATTGTTAAATCCAACTCTAAAGATAGAGGCTTCAGTCTCCCATTAATAAAATAAGATTGCCACCAATATTTACTAACTCAAAAGTGCACATGAAATTAAGTACTTCATTACCATCATTTTTTAAAGATTATTCATAATTCCAATAAAGTCAATCATTGGGCAGATGAAGAAAGAGGTAGATTCTGGTTAATAGAGTGTCAGGTTACCCCTGATATAAGTTACCAATTCCAGTTAGAATAGGACTAAATACATTGGATACGACACTACACTGATGTAAGCAACTGTGACATGGTTCTAACATAAATTGATATGAGATATTTCTATCTGAATATAAGAAATGCCTACAATAAACATATTGCCTGAATAAACAAATGGATGGGCAAAAGACAGGGCCAGAAAATTCAGAAAGTAGGGCCTACAACTAGTTAAACAGCATAAAAAATTGTTCAACTTCCTTAATAAAAAAATGCAAAAGAAAACAATGAGCTCGACCAGGCAGGGTGGCTCACACCTGTAATCCCAGCCCTTTGGGAGACCAAGGTGGATTACGACGTCAAGAGTTTGAGACCAGCCTGACCAACATGGTGAAACCCCGTCGCTACAAAAATTAGCTGAGTATGGTGGTGGATGCCTGTAGTCCCAGCTATCCAGAGGCTAAGGCAGAAGAATTGCTTCAACCCGGAGGCAGAGGCTGGAGTGAGTCGAGATCATGCCACTGCACTCCAGCCTCAGTAAAAGAGCAAGACAGACAGACAGACAGAAACAGAGAGAGAGAGAGAGAGAGAGAGAGAGAGAGATACAGAGAGAGAGAGAAGGAAGGAAGGACGGGAAGGAGGGAGGGAAGGAGGGAGGGAGGGAGGGAGGGAGGGAGGGAGGGAGGGAGGGAGGAAGGAAGGAAGGAAGGAAGGAAGGAAGGAAGGAAGGAAGGAAGGAAGGAAGGAAGGAAAGAAAACAATGAGCTATCACCTTTTATTTACTAAATTAGCACCCCTCAAAAAATGATGACTCAATGTTAGCACGAGTGCAGTAAGTCTACTTCTCTTAAATACTGCTGGTGTCACTCCAAATGACATCAACTCTTTTGGGAAAACAAGTTGGTAATATATACATATGTGCTTGTCTAATACACATTATATATACATATACACTTATTCAGAACCATAGAAACATGCATAAGCTTCTTCCTCAGTAATCGTACTTTCAGCAATCTAGTCCAAGCAGGGAAGAGGAACAAAACAGGAAAAACAAACCCCCACAAAGAAAATGCCACATACCCAAATATAAGTATCATAAAATACTGACAAAAGTGAAATACAGAAATGTCCAACATTTAGTAAATTACAGTAGTCACTTTATGGAATATTATACTATTAAAACAAAAAGATATGAAGCATTAAGATAATGCATCAACATGATACATATGTATAATTACATAAAGTTTAAAAAGTAGGATACAAAGTTGCACGCAGATTATAAACTATAACTATTCAAATATGCATGAAAAGGGAATAATAAAAATGATAACAGTTGTTAAATAAGGGTCATAAAACTATGTGAGGTTTTTCTTTTCACTTTCCTCTCAATCTTTCTTAATGTTGCACCATTGCTTTTATTTAAATAATTTAAAAACCATTTAAAAAACATTATTAATGTTAATACAATTTATATATAATTAACATAAAAACTGGCTTAGAAGGCACTTCCAGATCTTGAAATTCTCAGGATCCTCTCTATCAATAAGTGCTTTTAAAAGTCTGATGGATAAGTGGGGAGGTGACAATTAACAGATTTCTGTTTGTCAGAGAGGCAGTCTTGTTTTAAGGACCTGTCAGAGTCAGGAGTGACTCAAGTCAAGATAGGTGCATTTGGTTCTTCTTGTTGGGCTAACTCTCCTTCCCAGGTTCTTAAACATAAACAACTTCACAGCTTTTAAGGATAAGGATGTATATACTGAATATGTAAGTAAATGATGGACATAAATTTTATAAGTGAAAACACTGGGTAGAAGTTAGAGTGTAAGTGGACCAAGAGAACAATGCACCAAGACAGATTAATGGGAGGGAATTACAGAGAAGGAAGTTCGGGGACTCTAACCCTCCCCAATGCAGTGAAGCTTTGGTTAGCAAAATAACCAGAGTTCTCAGTCAACTATGCACTCAGCACTGCAAAATTTTCCATCTAACAGATATACCTAATTTGGGGTCAAAACTATATGGGTAATAGAGTAAATACAAAATCCTGTGTACCCCCCCAACAAAAAACAAGTGATAATTTGAAATTTCCCTTCAATTCTTCAATTTTTCTTCTTGAGAGGAAATCAAAATGCTTACCTCTTCTTAGTTGGTTCCGTCGTGTTTTTCCCAAGGATTTCTCTAATAAAAAGCAAATACAGCTTATTACATACATATGGGCTAGTGGTAGCCCTAAATGTGAGTAAGAGGAACTGACAATGCTTACCACACTTAAAATGCATAATAAATTCTATGTTCCAGTGAAATATTACCAACACTGTCCTTCCCACTGTAACCAAGACAATTTACTTAAAACATAAACTTTTATATTTTATTAGTAAAGCATGGTACTAGACTGTCGGCCATTTTAATGCACTGGGAAAGTCATATAACCTCTAACAAAGAGAAATGAATTTGCTCCAATATAAGGTAGCCAAAGACCTGCATGCTTGACATTCACAAAGAAGTGAACAAGTAGTAGATTCTAAAAAGTACTCCTACGGAATCAAAGGAGAACTGCATCAGCCAAGTTCCTACCTCTGATGGCTATCCAGAAGTCCACTGTACCCTTCCCAGATAAAGTACATAAAACGACCAATCTCATATATTAAATAAAAAGTACCAAAGTTTCTAATTCCATAACCTGTAATTTATTCCTAAAAGGCATAAAGGGAATATACTTTTCACTGCCATTTTCAAATGGAAAAAAGTCTGTGGGCCTATTATAGTTTTCAAGGGAAGAATCTGTCTTACTGTGGAGCTATTTTTTTATAATAAACAGTTATTTCAAGAAGATACCACACCCAGGGCTCAAAATAAGTGAGCAGGCACCCAGGAGTGTAGGGGGTAGGTCCTCTGTCTTTAGGTCCCTTGGAGAGCAGCCCATCACTAGAGCACCACATTCATAAAATCACCATCTGGCCAAAGTGAGGCCAGTATCTGGCAGAAGTGTCTGAGTCCTCCTTGGACACCAAAAAACAAGGGCCAGATGGATGACTGCCAAGATCTCATAATGGCATGAACTGAGAGGCAAGTTTGTTTGGATGGCACTGTGAAATCAACTTACCCTTCTCTAATGCATGCTTACTTGTACTCATGGGACTGTGTGTTTTGTTTTGTTTTTTTCTTTTTCTTTTTTGAGACAGGGTCTTGCTCTGTCACCCAAGCTGAAAGGCAGTGGCACAATCATGGCTCACTGTAGCCTCAACCTCCTGAGCTCAAATGATTCTGAACTCAGAATCTGGTGCACAGATGTGCACCACCACACCCAACACATTTTTTATTTTTTGTAGAGATGAGTTCTCACTATGTTGCCCAGGCTGGTCTTAAACTCCTGGCCTCAAGTGATCCACTCCCACGTCTACCTCCCAAAGTTCTGGGATTACAGATGTGAGCTATCATGTCTGGCCTGTGTTTTGTTTTTTAAAAATCAGTTTTACCAGATCCTTTTGTAGTTCATTAGCATGATGACTGGGTTTCATGCACATGTGTGAGATTTGCCACCCTGAGACCTCACCACATTACCCATCTGATGTGGAAAAAAAAAAATTGTTTTTTACCTCATTGCTTTCTGCTCCTCCTCCATCTGTTCTCTGACCTGCTGTAGTTCCTTCAGCAGTTCAAGATCTGTCCCATTCACCCAGGTGTAAACAACGTCGATCGGCATAGGCAGACAAAGCCTAGGGCAAATCAACAAATCCTCCAGCTTACATGCATTTTTCCAATGTATTTGGGAATAAGAATATCACAGAGTTTAAACCCAGAGATTATGAAAAAAAAAATCTATGTAAAAGTAATCCAACTGTGGCATATTATCACAGAATTGTATGTTTTCAAACTGTAGCTGGGGGCTGATACTTGTCAAGTACCTTCTCTGTGAGTTGTATTATGCTAGACACTTACGTAATTTGCATTACTTGATTCTCACAGCCACTCTGTAAGAAGGCTGATATTAAAGATTTAAAGACTGTTGGTGGGTGAAGTAGAATGGTCTTGGAAGCTCAGTCTACCTTAAACTGCCTGTTCTCATAATTTGGCAAACAAGGGGACTGGGATGCAAATGCAGCCAAACATAGAAAATCGATTAGAAGTTTAAAGAACAGAATTACAGGCTCTGAACAGTGGCTCATGCCTATAACCACGGCACTTCGGGAGGCTAAGGTGGGAGGATCACTTGAGCTCAGGAGTTTGAGACCAGCCTAGGCAACATAGTGAGACCCTGTCTCTACAGAAAAATTTTAAAATTAGCTGGATATGGTTGTGTGCACCTGTATTCCCAGCTACTCAGAAGGCTGAAGTAGGACTGCAGTGAGCCATGAGCTGCACTCCAGCCTGGGCGATGGATCATGACCTTGTCTCTTAAAAAAAATAATGTTATCAAAATCCATAATGAAGACCTAGCCCTACTACTTAATGCTGTAGCTTTCTTAATGCTGTAGCTTTCTGCCCCATCTCATCTCTGCTTTTCCTTTTTTTTTCATAGCACTTATTACTTTGGTAACACAAATAAGTAACTTGTAACCTATTCCGTTCACTACGTGTGGCCCTCTCCCAGAACGTAAGCTCCAAGAACGGAGAAAACTTTCCTGCTTTGTTCTCTAAAGTATCCGAGCAATGAGAAGAGTGCCTGGTACATAGGTACCCTATAAGTATTTGCAGACATATGAGACACTAGCACGGAAGACCTTCCTGAACTTGCACCATTTCTTCCTGATCATCTTATCCTCATCACAGTCAGGCAGACTTTTAGTTCTTGAATATATTGTTTAAGCCTCACCGTAGTGATTTTACCCAGGTTTTACTCCTGCCAAAAGCACTCTTCCCCTTTCTCTCACTTACCAAAACCTACCCAGCTTTCGGGGGCCTGCCTAGATGTATGCCACTCTGATTTATGATTCAGGAGTCCATGTGTACATGTGGGTACTGATATTACTCTAGATCGGGGGTGTCCGATCTTTTGGCTTCCCTGGGCCACATGGAGATAACTGTCTTGGGTCACACATAAAATACACTAACACTAAAGATGCTGACAAGCTAAAAAAAAGAAAAAAAAATGCAAAAAAAGTCATGTTTTAACAAAGTTTATGAATTTGTGTTGGGCCATGTTCAAAGCTGTCCTTGGCAGCATGCGGCCAGCAGGTTGAACAAATTTGCCTTAGATAGTGCTATTTCAAGTTTGATACTTTCCAAGAAACTGCATGGCTTTTGCAGTTTTATTTTTAGGCCAAGGACCAGCTTACCCTCCTTTTGTCCTCCTCACACCCCAGGCACAGCCTAGGCTTTTGGTTGCTACCATATCATCTCATGAGAAAGAGAGGTGGATAAATCTTTTGAATTACAGAAGGAAAAAATAAACAAAAATGTCAACAACCTTTAGCTCACTAGAGGTAGGGGAGATAACTGGATGAATGGAGTGTTTATCCATTTGATGAATAATCCTTATTGAGCACTCAGTATGTGCTAGGTACTGTTCTAGGTGCCAGGGTTTCAGCAGTAAATAAAATAAAGCCCAAATCTGTGCCTTCGTGGAGCTTACATTTCAGAAGGGAGGAAACAGGAAATAAATAAATGGATATAAAGTCAGATGATAAATGTTATGGAGAAAGTAAAGCAGCAAATGGGGATAGAAACGGTGTCGATGGGGTGGTGTGGGGTTGGGGGATGCAGTCAGTTTTAAATAGAGAGATCAGAGATGGCCTCAGTAAGAAGGTGACATTTCAGCAAAAGTATGAAGGAAGTAAGGAAGCAAGCCAGGTGGGTAACGGAGAAGAATGGGCCAGAAAAAGGGAATATCAAACACAAATGCCGTGAGGCAGGCATATATCTTGGTTTTTTCAAAGACCCAGAGGTCCTCTTCCCTGAGAAGAGGGGAGAGAGCAAATGAAAGAGAATAGTTGAAGATAAAGGTCAAAGAGACAACAGAGTTCCCAGAGCTTCATCAGGAAAATAAGGAATCACCTTATTCTCCAGCATATGTGACAGCTGAGTATTTACCAACTGTCTTGTCATATTTCACCACAGCCTTCAGAATAAGGTCAAAAGTCCTTCATAATCTGTACCTTGTGTTCTGGATCACTCAATTGCATACCCTTACTCAAAGTTGAAATGAACTTGCAGGACTCTAGCTTTGAACATGCTTTTCCTTCTGCCTAGAACATTCTTTCATGCTTCCTTTAACCACTCCTCCTTCCTCAATCCCCTCCCTTCCCTCACCCCTCACAAAGAGAATCCGCAGCTTAATATGCAGCTTCCACGCTACTTTGTACTGCAAGGAATCCTGATCATACTGTGCGATGCTATTTCCTCTGCATCCCTATCTTCCACTAGATGGCGTAACTGTCGGGTAGAAATGGTATCATGCATTCTGCGCCCTGCAATTATTTCCTCTTTCCTACATCTTCAGGCTCTCTCCCGCTACTGTAATGATTTGCAAAGGCTTCCTTATCTAGGTTTTTTCTGAATTTATCAAAAAATAAATTCTAGTGTTTGTAGAATTTGCTTTTCTCACAAGCTCTCAGGTAATGCTGATGTTGCTGGTCCAGAAATTGCACTTTGAGAACCACTGATTTATTTATATGTAGGTAACATACTTTACTTTTTTCCCCACTAAAATGCCAGTTCTATATGAGGTCAACGAGTTCATCTTGTTCACCACTATATGCCTACAGCCTAGAATAGTTCCTGCTACATGGGTGGGGTTTAATACATATTCGTGGCCTATTAGTTCATTCCTTTATTATTTTTATGTATCAGTAGTTCTCATTTTTAAAAAATCCATCTGCCTCACATTACCCATATGTGAATTATCCAAGGTCATCTCACTCCCAACCTCCCAGGTGATCTATGCTCAAACTAAAAATAAATTTTTAAAAAACTGCTTAAGTGATGTTTTTTTTTTTTTTTTTTTTTGAGATGAAGTTTCACTCTTGTCACCCAGGCTGGAGTGCAATGGTGCGATCTTGGCTCACCACAACCTCCGCCTCCTGGGTTCAAGCAATTCTCCTGTCTCAGCCTCCCGAGTAGCTGGGACTACAGGCGCATGCCACCATGCCCAGCTAACTTTTGTATTTTTAGTAGAGATGGGGTTTCACCTTGTTGACCAGGATGGTCTCGAACTATTGACCTTGTGATCCACCTGGCCTCCCAAAGTGCTGGGATTATAGGCGTGAGCCACCGCACCCGGCCTAAGTGATATGTTTTTAAAAGAAAAGGTTAGAGAGGAGAATTACATCTTAAGTTTTCCTAAAGAAGTAATAATCTGCATTTAAATAGTTTAATATATATGTTCAGCTGATTAAAACATAATATACTGTATATATTACACAATCAATTTAATTCTCTGGTGAAACTGACAAATAGAAGGAGATTGTGTGATCTGCGCAAGGTCAATGAGCCAGTTGTTTTCCTATTACTAGACACGGTCACACACTGAATCTTTCATTCTAACCACTAGACCACTATCTTGGTTCACAGATGAGAAGGAAAGCTTTATCTCAGAATTGAAGACTAAAACTAAGTCACCCATGACTCAGAACCAAAGCAGTGAGGACACTGACACTTTTATTTTAATCACTCTTCAGTGTAGTGAATATTAATGCCACTTAACAGTTCCTTGGTTCCACACTCAATAAAGCACATGAGAAAACAGAGAACTTAAATAGTATTTGGTCTTATTTATTTATTTGAGCTGGAGTCTCGCTTTGTCACCCAGACTGGAGTGCAATCTCAGCTCACTGCAACCACTGCCTCCCAGGATCAAGCAATTATCCCTGCCTCAGCCTCCCAAGTAGCTGGGATTACAGGTGCATGCCAGTGCTCCAGCTAATATTTGTATTTTTAGTAGAGACGGGGTTTCACCATGTTGGCCAGGCTGGTCTTGAACTCCTGACCTCAAGTGATTCGTCTACCTTGGCCTCCCATAGTGCTGGAATTACAGACGTGAGCCACTGTGCCCAGGCTTAAATGGTATTTTAGAACCAAAGAGTCGGAAGAGAGTGTAATCTTAATCTAATCTAATCTAATAGATCTTAATCTAATCTAATCTAATAGATCTTAATCTAATATCCACATTTTACAGATGGCAAAATTGAGCCCCAGATTGATTTAATGCCTCATATTAGGAGCAGTGGATAGAGTTTACATATTCACTTTTACTGACATATGGAATGGTATTTTTTTCATTCAGAGCAAACAACATTAGAAAGATTTATACTGGTCAGGCATGGTGGATCACACCTGTAATCCTAACATTTTGGGAGGCCAAGGTAAGAAGATTGCTTGTGGTCAGAGTTCGAAACCAGCCTGGGAAATACAGCAAGATCCATCTCTATTAAAATAAATAAATATTTTTTTGAAAAAAAGATTTGTACAGAAACTAGCAAAATAATTAAAATATACCAGTGTTAGGGTATCTGAAAATATATTAGACCATGTGATATGTGATACATGATCTATTTATTTGTCATCATCAAAATTAGGCAATTTTGAATATAGGCCTACATAAAAATCAAACTATATTTTAGTACAACATTCCAAAATTCTTTAGAAAGAGAACAAGAGTGCTTGATTAAAATGGCTGACCTCAAAATCTACATTTTTTAATAAGCTAGTTTTCTTTCTAAAAGTTTGAAGCAGCTGGGCATGGTGACTCATAATCCTAGCACTTTGAAGGCCAAGATGGGAGGATCGCTTGAGTCTAGGAGTTTGAGACGAGCCTGGGCAACACAGTAAGATCCCATCTCTAAAACTAAATAAGTAATTAATTTTTAAAAAGGTTTGAAGATCCTTTGGGACAGGGATCTATGCATCTGTGCACCATTTGGATGTAGCACAGCATAAGGCACAGACCAGGTACTCAATAAATGTCTGATTTTTAAAAGTTAATCAATTTAGAACTTTCCTTAGGGAAATTAACTTGTTAAAGTAAAAATTATGGCCGGGCATGGTGGCTCACGCCTGTAATCCCAGCACTTTGGGAGGCTGAGGTGGGCAGATCACAAGGTCAGGATATCGAGACCAGCCTGGCCAACATGGTGAAACCCTGTCTCTACTAAAGATACAAAAAATTAGCCAGGCATGGTAACGAATGCCTGTAATCCCAGCTACTCCGGAGGCTGAGGCAGGAGAACTGCTTGAACCTGGAAGGTGGAGGTTGCAGTGAGCTGAGATGGCGAGTACGCCAATGCACTCCAGCCTGGGCAACAGGGCGAGATTCTTTCAGAAAAAAAAAAAAAATAATAAAAACTGAAAATTATATTTCATTAAAAATCCTTTAATATAGTAGTTTTCACAGTGTGAGCACTAGACCAGCAACTTTGGTATCACCAGGAAGTTTGGTAGAAGTGCAAATTCTCAGAACCCCTCTTAGTCACAGACTCAGAAATTCTGGGCTGGGAAGTAACCGCTATTTTCTCAAGCCCTCCACTGCAACCTTAAGTGGAGCTTTAGCTTGCAGTGGACGGCGTGAGAAAATAACAGTTTCAGAACTGCTATATTAAGTTATGATCCTCAAACTTTTATTGTTTGGTCCCTTAAAATTAAAAATTATTACGGACCCCAAAGTACTTTAATTTATAAGGTCACAATTATCCATATTTGCCATATTTGAAAATAAAACTGAAACATTTTAAAACGACAATAGGCCAGGAGCAGTGACTCATGCCTATAACCCCAGGACTTTGGGAGGCCAAGGTGGGTGGATCACCTGAGGTCAGGAGTTTGAGACCAGCCTGGCCAACATGGTAAAACTCCATCTCTACTAAAAATACAAAAATTAGCTGGATGTGGTGACAGATTCCTGTAATCCCAGCTACTGGGGAGGCTGAGGCAGGGTAATCACTTGAACCCAGGAGGTAGAGGCTGCAGTAAGCCAAAATCGTGCAACTGCACTCCAGCCTGGGCGACAGAGTGCAACTCTGTCTCCAAAAAAAATAAAACAAAATAAAGATAAACCCCCTTACACGTTAACATGAATAAATTTTAGAATGAAATGACTGTATTTTCTAAAACAATATAATTAGTGAGAAGACAGAAACAAAAGCCAGAAAGGACCTGTGTGATTCATTTTATTGCAAAAGGGGAAGGGAGGGTGTTGAAAAAAAATTGTTTCCATTCTGAGGCCTGTCTTGTGAAGAGGAAAAAAAGAATCCCCAAAGACCAGAAATGGTGAAGGCTGCATTCCACAATGGCTGCATCAAGAAGCTTGGTCTTCCAAGAGACAGACCCACAACTGGCCGGGTGTGGTGGCCAAGCCTGTAATCCTAGCACATTGGGAGGCCAGGGCGGGCAGATCGCCTGAGGTCAAGAGTTTGATACCAGACGGACAAACATGGAGAAACCCCGTGTCTACTAAAAATACAAAAATTAGCCAAGCATGGTGGCAGGCTCCTGTAATCTCAGCTACTCAGGAAGATGAGGCAGGAGAATCACTTGAACCTGGGAGGTGGAGGTTGCAGTAGCTGAGATCACGCCACTGCACTCCAGCCTGGGCAACAAGAATGAAACTCTGTCTCAAAACAAAAACAAAAACAAAAAAACAAAAAAAAGAGAGAGAGAAAGACCCACATTATGAGGTATGAGGCTGTTTGCTCCTCCCCAACCAAGAAGTAGTAAGATGTGACCACTGAGGTGGGGTCCAGCCCCAGTTCACATCAGGCTATCAACAGAATTCTGGCCAGGGCTCAGAAACTGGCTGTGCAGTAGCCACCTGGTTTCCTCATCCTACAAGGGGATGAAATTCCCTTTACCTCATAGACCTGAGGAGAGACAAAATACAATCATGCATTTAAGGTACCCAATAAACTACAAGGTGGGATTACTCTCTGTGAATCAGATTTTTTACCCATAAAATGTGGTAAACACACTTTCTTCAGATGGGCATATTGTTTTTCTTTCCTTATTTAAAAAAAAAGTATTTTATGAATGCTTCATGAATTGGTGCGTTACCCTTGTACTGGGGCCGCACTAATCTTCTCTATATCATTCCAATTTTTTTTTTAAGTATATGTGCTGCCGAAGCAAGCATATCAGATGGGCATACTTTTCAGTAAGTTAAATCATATCTATAACTCAGAAAGGCCCCTTAAACTGTCATGTTTTCAGCATGGATATTTCATGACTCATGATTTAGGTCCAAATAACAGATTTTAAAATTAGATCTCACCGATTCTGAAAGGACTTTCCAGCAATATTGTCTCTATAGGAATCAAACAAAACATGGTATTGATCTCTGCTCCATTCCAGAACCACCTAGAAAAAAAAAAAAGAAACAACATTTTATTTGCATCAAAGACTGAGAGTATGTAACTTTCATTTCATTTTTATTTCATTAGAATTGCTAGAGAAATGAGTAAAGCAATCAAAATTCATGTATTCACTTACTGCCTACCACATACATTGTAACAGATCCAGATGAATAAACTATAGTTCCTGACATGGACAAACTAAAAGACTTAGTGTCTCACCATGCTTGAAATGGGGTAACGGAATCAAAGAGGTTTAAAAGGATGTGGTGTTTGAAATGGGTCTTGAAGAAAGAGTTCACTGGGTAGGGAAAAAAGGACAGGGCAGTCGGTTGGAAGAGCATGCTCAAAGGCAGAGAAGCAGCAAGGGCAAATTGTTTCAGGGCAACTGTGTGGCTGACTTTGTCCAAAACACAGGTAGGTAACTGTTGAGAAATGGGTTTAGGAAAGAAAGCTGGGCCCTAAACATGACATGCCTTCTGTGCCTTGGGAGCACTGAAGAATTTTAAGGTAGTTATAGAATCGATCTAAAGTTTAGGAAAGACTCTTCTCAGAACAGTTACAAACACAAACAGAAACAGAAGGGACTGACAAGATATGGAGGGATAAGGACCATATTACCTGTGAGGTTTCAGCTAACGACCTTGCTTAATATTTCAGGAGAAAATGGAAAGCTTTAGATAGAAGTTCCCTCATGTTGGTCCCTAACCCTATAAACCTACTCATATACATGCCCCATTTTCTTCTTCACTCCTCTTGCCATAGAGGAAGTGGCCCTCTGCCTTGCAGACATCCAATCTCTATTTGCTCTAGATCTCATCAACTTGTGTGTTCTCAAGACCTTGCTGCTTCTCTTTTCCTTTCAATAGGATTATTCCTGTCAGCAAGCAAACATGTTCTAGTATCTTGGGAACACCTTCCCTTCACTCCATAACCATTCCAGCTAGTCCCTCCACCCCACATTCTCTGTCCCTTTCTCCTGCTTTCCCATTCACCCTTCAGCTCATTCCAGTATCATTTATGCTCCCACAACTTTAGTGGCCTTACTAAGGCCCCCACATTGTCAAACTCAACATCATTTTCCTCATCTCTTACTCAAGTATTCATAGCAGACGCCCAGTTCCTCTTTGTGGAAATGCTTTCTTGGTATTCCTCCTGTTGTCCTGGTGGCTCCTTTACCATCTCCTTTGCCAGCTCATTCTCTTCTAGCTAATCTTTCTGTGTGTCCTTTCCTTCTATTCCTCATGCCCTCCTTCCTGCCCAGGCTTCCACCAGCATCCTATTCCACAGCCCCTAAGAAGTGGCCCTGCTTGCTACATTCAGATTGTCTATGGGACCCAGGCATGCAGCATTCATTCCAGCCTTGGAAAGCAAAGATATGCCCGCCTTGAAGGAGGTATCATAGAAGCTACACCTACCAATTTTGTTTTCATTAGCCAGAACTTACACAAATCTATTATATTATAAAAAGTTAAAACATATCAAAACTTATACATACAAACAGACTGTACATGGTACCATTTGCAATTGATACGTAAACAAACATAAAAATGCAGCGATAAATCATAACTAAATAAAATCAACTGTAATATATACTAGATGCTATAAGAATTTAGTACCCACCTCCTGTTACTATTGCAGCAAGCTCATGTGTTGCAAGTATCCATAGTGACACTGTCACCACGTGAGCAGTCTGTCTCTCTAAATTGCATATTGTGATAAAAACTGATCTCTCATGTTTATTATGTATTTTTCATATTTAGTGCAATACCATAAACTGTGAAGAACACCATGGGACTCTTAAAAAATGCCACCAGTGCTGGCCAGGACCAGTGGCTCACACCTGTAATCCTTGGCCTTTGGGAGGCCGAGGTGGGTGGATCACCTGAGGTCAGGAGTTCAAGATCAGCCTGGCCATCATAGAGAAACCCCATCTTAAAAAAAAAAAAAAAAAAATGCCACTAGTGCTGACAGAAGTGCTCTCAAGAAGCAGAAGAAAGTTACGACATTAAAAGAAAAAGTTGAATGGTTTGATATGTATCATAAATTGAGGTCTGCAGCGGTGGTTGCTGGCCATTTCAAGACAACTGAATTTAGCTAAGGATCATTGTACCAAAAAAAAAAAAAGATAGCAAAGAAAAATTATGAAGCTATCATTGCAGCTATACCAGCAGGTTTGAAAACTTTGCATTTTTTTTTTTTTTTTTTTGCTAAATGCCTTTTTATCTTGTATTGAAAGTGTGCTTTAACATGGGTACAGAATTGCTACAAGAAACACATACCTATAGACTTAACATAATGCAAGAAAAAGCAAAGTTGTTAGATAACCACTTGAAGCAAAAGGACAATAAGGGGAATGTAATGCTAGCAAAGAATGGTTTGATAATTTTAGAGATTTGGCTTTAAAATGTCAAGATAATAGGAGAAGCACTTCTGTAGACCACAAGGCAGCAGATCACTTCCCAAAGAAAATCATTGATGAGAAAGGATATCTGCCTGAACATGTTTTTAATACAGATGAAATTTAACTATGTGAAAAAATGTGACAAAAAACACTTATTAGTAAGGAAGAGAAGTGAGCATTTAAAGCAGGAAGGGAAGGGTCAGGCTGACTCTACTGTTTTGTGCAAATGCTGTTGGGCTTTCCTTATCTGTAAAGCTGCTAAACCCCACGGCTTGATGGAAAAAGATTAACACCAACAGTCAGTCTTTGGTGGTACAACAAGAAGACCTGAACAAGAGCTCTTTTACTGGATTGGTTCTTCGATGCATTGTCTCTGAAGTCAGGAAGTACCCTGCCAGTAATGTACTGCCTTTTAAAGTTCTTTTGACTGGACAATGCCCGTGGCCACCCAGAAACCCATGAGTTCAACACCGAAGGCATTGAAGTGGTCTACTTGCCCCAAAACACAGCATCTCTAATCAGCCTATAAAGGAGAGGTCGGGGGAAGATCTTTAATGCTTATGACACATCGTGCTCTATGGAAAGAATTGTCAACACTGTGGAAAAGAACTCCAATAAAGAGAACTTTTGGTTTTAGTTTTGTTCTGTTAGTTTAGTTTTGTTCTGTTTAGTTTTGTTTCCATACACTTGCACTTGTACTTTAGTTTGTTGGACACTGGTCCAAACCCCAAACATTCCCTGACAGGGCTTATAGGGTTTTTATTTTGCTCTTGGGAAATTAATGAGAAGCTGAATGGGATCCTAAAATGCTAAAGCATGCAATCATGGCCCTCGTCCTGGGACCTACGTGTTCAAAAAAATTATGGTCTTCAGCCAGGTGTGGTGGCTCACACCAGTAGTCCTAGCACTTTAGGAGGCTGAGTTAGGAGGATCACTTGAGCCCAGGAGCTCAAGACCAGCCTGGGTAACACAGTGAGACCTCAACTCTATTTTTTCCCTATTATAAAAAAATTAAATTAAAAAAAAATTATGGTTTTCTCTTGTGAACAGTTTTAAATCAATGGATAAAGAACATCAAAACTAATCTGCATGGCCATCCTGGAGATCTTTTGAGTCCGCAAACTTGTCTTTCTTAGAACAAAATTAGGGCTACACGGGGTGGCTGACGCCTGTAATCCCAGCACTTAGGGAGGCCATGGTGGAAAAATCATTTGAGATCAGCCTAGCCAACATGGTGAAACCTCGTCTCTATTAAAATACAAAAAAAAAAAAAAAAAAATCAGCCAGGTGTGGTGGCAGGCGCCTCAAATCCCAGCTACTCAAGAAGCTAAGGTAGGAGAATCACTTGAACCTGGAAGGTGAGATTGCAGTGAGCTGAGATCGCAGCACTGTGCTCTAACCCAGGTCACAAAATAAGGCTCTTCCTAAAAGCCTCAGGCTGGAAAAATCTCCAGGCCTGTGCCCAAGAATCTAATGAGCCAGTTTACAACTATTACAATAGACTCCGGGTTGTATTTAAAGAAAATGCTGGATTACCTACAGCTGTTGAATCTACTCAAGTAGCCTTTAATTCCACGTTAGTGAACAGCCTTTCTTGAGAACTCTCCCAGCTTGTCAAAAGAGCCCAAACAGAATGGGAAACTATGAACACTTCTGATCTAGTTAATTTGGCAAATCAGCTTGCCAGCACCCTTGAGGACAATACTAAAAAGAAAACCATTAAAATCCTTAATCTCCAGTTACAGCAGATGGAGACTCCCAGACATAACACTTGGAGAAGAACTCCTGGGCTAAGCCACTACACACAAGAAGCCAGGCCTTTGGAAAAGAGTGCTAAAAAAGACGGAATCTCTCTCATCAACTTTAATGAATCTCCAGGCAATGAGGCTGCGTTTAAAAAAAAAAAAAAAAAAAGCCACTCTCAAAAGTCTTTATACTGTATGATTCTGTTGGGGCTCAGAAAGTGATACCCCAAAGACGGGCACTTTAACATGCCCAGTTAAACAGTCTTAGAAACTGCCTCAGAATCAGGGTCCCTCTAATCTCGTCTTCCCTCCAACAAAAGAAAAAGAAAAGATAAATTTACCATGCTCCTAGATTACAAAAGGTTTCTTAGTTTCTGAAAACAAAACTTGTTTTGCATTGAGGCACTAAAAGACAGACTAAGATATATTAAAGATATTTTAAGCTTTATCTTTTCTACTAAACCTATCTCCTCCTATAATGCTAATCAGGAATTGAAATCTGCTCATCACCAGCAGCATTTCTAATCACATTTGATTAAAGACACCCCATTTTCCCAATGCAAAGTGGCTTAGTGCAATAAAGCACAACTTTAAAAAATTAAGAGCTGAATGGTTATTAACACTGGGAAGATTTTTCCTCTTTACATAAATTAAAGGAAATGATTCAAACTGAAGATGGACGACTACTATCTAGTCAAACATTAATTAAACTCAGACTCTTTTCCAGACCATGCCTACCCTCTTTGGATCCTTTATGGCAACAGACACACAGCATACATTTGTTGAGCAGATTTTTTAAGAAAGACAAAATGCAAGTCAGGACTCTGTCCTCAAGGAGCTGACATTCCTTTTAAGGAT